AGGTGCCTAATTTATTTTCCGTAACATGTAATTTTAATTAAATTATTTAGTATATATTAAGTCAGAAACGATGGGAGCAACCAAGATTATCAGATGAAAAAACTCTTCGAAATATTGTTATTGACTTGTGCACTGTTAAAAAAAAAATGTACCTAATCAACTTATTTTGAATTAGATATTTGGTGAGTAGTATATTATATTTGAATTTATTATTAAGATAGACGTAGCTTTTATTATTAAACTAAACTACTAATAACTTTTATTCAAATGCTCATTCAATAACTATTAAAATTCAGTATTTTCAATTTGTTTTTTTTTATCAAAGTCAGAAGGAACAATAATAACACTTTACAATTACCTAGAAATATGGTTATTTAAATGCTATTTTTGCGATAGGAAATTATTGTTAGATTTTTTGTTAATTTTTGGTGTCTTAGTTGTTAATGATGTCCAATACGAAATAAAGTTTGAAGATGTTAATCCCAAATAATTTAACAATCTCTTTAAAAAAATCAATATAAATAATTTTATTTTTCATTCCGATGTAAAGTCATTTACATGGTGTAGTTGAAATACATCGACATATTGAAACTGGTTAATCTATTAACTTTACTGAAATTCAGAAAAATGTTATTTTGACAAAATACCTGTTATTAACAAAGTAATTATGTGTTGAAACTTTACTTCCAAAAGATAGACAACCTCTTGATGTAGAAAACATTCACAAAAAAATCTACTGATTACTTTAAAATACTCGGTGGTGTATCCACGAGTCATGTAAACAACTTCTAATTTACAGTGAGCGTAGAAAAGAGTTAGGAAATGGGATTATATTATATATTTAATTTTTTTGAATTATTCTGTAAAGTTCGTTTGTATATGATAGGTGGGTCCGCTGATTTTAATATGTCGACATTTTTCAATTCTATTGAAATATATATTTCTATTTAAAAAACAAATTATCCAAATGCCTGCCTTCTTGTAAATAATACACATGCCCTATAAATTTTGTTTAATTCTAAACGTTCAATGCTCCAAAAACATATCTTCTAACATGAAAATCTTGAAATATTACATTTAGAATGAAACCAATAGAGAGATTATTGAGTTGTGACAATAGCATTAGAAGAATTATACATACTTTTGAGTGTGTAAACATATTTTAAAAATTTATTAAAGCAATTTCCTGAGTTGCAAAATGAGTAAAGAAACAACTAACAATTTTATTTAAAAAAATGTATATACACATTAGGATCCGAAGATTGAAGAAGTAATATAATAAGCCAATAATACTTTTTATTTTTCAATAAAACCATACTTTATTTCAATATATCTTTTTAAAACAGCTACATTGCTACATAAATATTTTCTATGACTATAATAATACAGAGCTACAATGTCTCAACCATTGTTTAGGACAAATAAATACATGATGAAATATGTTCGGAACAAAAATATTTGGAGCTTACTACGTATTTTACATTGTATTTTAAAAATAAACTGTTTTTATTATAGTTTTCAAGAGGCATGGTTTAGTGGTATATATACAGATTATTAAATTTTGTTTGGAGACCGAGATAGTAACAATAATCTATTAGATACAGATAACTTAAGAAACTAAATGAAAGTAGTCTGCTACGCCTGGAAAAAAAACTATTTTTTCTCTGTGTGATTTAATGTTCAGATCAAATTGTGAAATAAAAGTATGCTTAAATAAATAGTAGTGTGCTTTAAAAAATTTAATAATCCATATAATAATTACTGATTTCATAATTCAATTTTTAAAACTTTTATTTGTTAATAGAAATATATATTTAAATGATCAGAGTATAACCCAAATAGTTAATTGTTTTAAACAAAATTAATTCACAATTGTAAACAAGAAATTAAAATTATAATGGGGATGGCATTCTTCAAATAAATATATGTCCAAGGTAAATGAAAATAATTAAATAAAAAAATCGGTTAACGTTCTAAATTTTGGGTATGTGGATAATATGTTGCCTCTTCCCTGCCCTCCCTCTAGGAGGAGCCAACTATGCTATTCACCATGGCGAAGGGTTGCAACTAAGCTGGGAGTAAAGTAAGTTCTAACTTACCTCACGAACTACCATCTACTTTTCTGGTATTCACATCTATTCTAGTTTCTTACTTTTAGCGATACATCATTGTGTGTTGAAATTCTTCAGTAATCTGCAGTCATCTGGCTCGTTTACTTGGATCAAAATTGCCAACCGATTTTGCATAAAAGGAATGCCTTTTCTTAGTTCTATTTAATTTATTCACGTAATAGTAACTATGAAAATGATTCCCGATTCTGTTGAAAAATTTTATAGATATGATTTATTTTAACATGAATATGTAATTATTATGACAAATTATTGTTTAACAGAATCGTTTGGACTTTGCAAGTATAGAACTTAAGATGCCTTTCCTTATATAATGTCACACCCTGCATTTGAGATTATTATTCTGCATTTTCCAAAATGTTCTTAGCTTATTCCAATTTAAACCATTTAACACCCAGGTACCTTCAACTCCATTTGTTCATAAAAATTGAATATTCTGTCCAAAAAGTCTCATAATTAGACAAATGTCCCAGCAATAATTCTTAAAAAATATGCTTGATCCTGTTTTCACCAGTCTTTTCTACTGTTTTTATCCTTTTCTTTCCAAATAACTGAAACATTTCTCGTATTTAACCGATACCTAAAAAGGAGCAAAATTCACTTTTTTTATTATAGACCTATTACTTTACCTTTGCTCTATCACCAAAAAGTCATGGAAAATATATTGACATCTCGAATAAGCATAAATTAATCTATGACAGATTGTATTCAGTAACAAAATGGCCATATACAATATCCCCTAAAAGTAGAATTCGTTTCATTATCCATATATTATTCCTAAGATTATTTATATTTCACCTATAAATTACAATACTTTAATTTCAAAGTACTATGACAATTTTTTTTATGGAAATCGAAGATGTACATAAATTATTTTACACCTGACAGGGTACCAGAAAACTGAGCCCAAAACGCCCAAAAATCTCCACGCACTTATTGTATACAATTACAATAATTTCAAAATTGAACTATTGATCAACAGCTGACCTTTTATCTTTTCTCCCTCGTATTTAAAATAACCTTTGGACAATGTCTGATAAGCTTCTCTGTTAAACAAGATTTCATTATAGGACTAACACAAAAACTAAATGAGTTGAAAAATCCCTGTCAAACCGTTCAACATATGCCGCTCTTTATGGCTATTCCTGTGTGTTCTACAAAATCATGCTCAAATTTATCCACGGCACTATTCCTATTACATATCAATGACGTACTTTCAGATACTTGTAATCTTCCAGCGTGTATTTTATTAATAATTATCTTGAAATTATCACTAAAATGAAATTTAAAAAACATAATCCATTTCAATGTCCCCCAAAACACACTGTCTATTCTCAAATAAAGACCACACAACCACTATCCAGTGATTAGTAACAATTTGGTTGTGTCCTGATGAGAACTTCTTTAGCTCTGCCAATGTGTCATTTATTGTCACTATCACTAGTATGAAATTAGGGTTCATATTTAGAGCAAAGAAGTATTTTCCCACCTAATTTTTTTCCATTTTCTCAACTCTAACCGGACCACTCAGCGTGACTCGTTAGTTTTCTTTAATTATGCTTCCAGTAGGTTTCATTTATAGATTTCACATCTATACACCATGTGATTAAACGAAATTATATCCCAATCTCATTCACTCATTTTTTTATGATTCCATTTATTCTTCGTACCATAATGATTCCAAATATTCTATGTATTTATTTTAATCTTCACAATATATTTATTTTTTTAATTAAATATAATTTAGTAATTTTTTATTCATATTATTTTTTAATAGAGTCGAAAAAATCACTTAAAATCTGTTTCCTTATTATAACTACTTATGGTCTAAGATCCGAAGTAAGGTGGACCTTCACCCATCTGTTTAACGGATAAAAGTTTGTTTTTATTAAATGTAAATTTATCGCAAATGAGTTGCCCAAGAAAATACGGTCATGACTATTTATTTTCTTGAAGTAAAAAAAAACTACAACCTGTAAAGTATTCCCCAGATGCTTCGACTATGCCCAAACTTTAATCAGCTCACCGCAGAATGGATTAAAGTTTATGTTTAAAATTTTGTGTTTTTCTCTTCATCCGTTTTTGGGTTATTTTCAAAATTCGAAATTTGCATTTTCCCTCAAATACCTCGAATTAGGTACATTTTTGAGAAATCATGAATAGGAACAAAATTATCTAGAATGACATCATAAGCAACTTTTATCATGATTCCTATACGTTCCTTATCTGTATACAGAAAGAAAAGTGAAAAATGGCCGTAACCGCTTTTTATTAGGCAACCCATTTGCGGTATATTAATTAACATATTTTATATATTAGAAAAAAACTTTCATCCATTAAACAGATGGGTGAAGGTCGCCCTTATTTACGGATCCTGTACTATTAAACCAAACTTTCTCAAAAATAAAATCAATATTAAACTTAATAAACAAAAATTCTTACATGCAATTAGTTAAATACTAATTTAAGTAGAAAGGTTATTTTTGTTAAGACTTTGCTTTTCTTTTTATTCAAAATTGGTTGATAGCAACATTGCAGCTACATCTGGGTAGAGCCAACTTCTAAGTACAATCTAATTAGACTATTGCCTATTTCTTTTTTTTTGTGGCTAATCTACATGTTTTTTTTTTTTAGTTCTAAGTTTATAGTTTTTGCAATTTGCTGTACATGCTATTTTGCTTTCAGGCATGACTTTACTCTATTCTTCTTCTATTCAACGCAAGTTACATTCACAATATACCAACGTAAATCACATTGTCGAAAATGTTTATGTTCTAGCTGTGTTTTTTGTTGTACGTTTAATCTTCGCTTGTACGTCCGTCTCTCTAAATTTTGTTAAATATATTTTTTAATTTTTATTTCGCTTTTCAGCCAAATACTTTATGATGATAAAGACAGTTCGCATGGTCAACATGACGCTGCCAGGTAAGAATATTTTTAATTCCATACATACATCTAAGAATTCTTTTAAAATTACTTTGGCTTTCACAAGTGTTTGTATATCCGTTTTAAAGTGCATGATTTAATATTAATATACCTTATTTTGCACTTGATGCACAAAAGATTAATAAATAAATTAGTACTAAAATCCAGTTTTCTGAGAAATGAAAATTATTTATAAAATGGAAATTATAATAAACAAACTTCAAAAGTTGTACAAGTCTGCCTTTAGTGCTTCAGAGCACTTTAAGTTGTCGGGTACAGATTTCCACCTTCTACAGTCTTCTCTTGTGAGTCGTTCAATTAGTTTTATACAATATTTTTTTAAATAATTCTATTGGAAAAAGTCTAATGCCTCATTCACAAAGCATCTTTAAATTTACCCATATTTAAAACCTTACAGGTAGAAACGTCACTATAATGAATGTCCAATAGAGTTGGGCGGTATTTCACGAACTGTTATTCAATTAATTTAATCTTGATAAATTGTCATTTACATGTTTTTCTATCGATTTCTTATAAGTTTTCCAGATAAATATAAACAAATATTTAAATTGTTAATGATTGGCGGAAACAACCTCATTTATTTGACTATCACTAATCACAGTAACGGTTCAAAGTATGATTGAAAAATCACACCATCGTCCAACTCTACTTTTTTCTGAATTGCCGTTGATGTTTCCATCTTCAAGGATTTACATGTAGGTAACTATATAAAAATGTTTTGTGAATACGGTTGTAAAGGTGTTACATCTGGCTAACATGCAGAGTCTATGTTTCCTATACTAAAATTAAATATTTTTTTAATTATCAAGAATTCGACTGCCAGAAAGATCAAGACTAAAATAATTATGATCATTTATATCTAATATTTTAATATAAATTTACTTTCTGCTAACATGAAATGTATATACCCAAAAATAATCCAACAAACATAATAGGTATGGAATTTTCAACACGGAAAGTATACCTTACAATGAGTCGAACAACGTTTAATATGAACATGCACATAACAGAGAGAGACCCCTTTCTGCGGGTTCGATTCGAATTCTTCTCGCCCCCCCCCCCCCCTACATATATCAGCCTGATATGTGCATTTTCCCTTGTTCAACTAAATTGTAAGGTATATTTTGCATGTTGAAAATTCGGTACTTATACAATGGCATTTTTATGCTTGTGAGGCATTGATAGCAATAATCTATTGTATGGTGGAATAACTGTTTAATAATTTATTTATCATGTTCTGTTCATTAATTTTATAATACTTTTTCCTAAATTTCATGTTTAAGAAAAAATATATAAATATTACTACCAACAACGAACAGCTACTAGACCAATTTTGTTTACAAAACCGAATTGCAAGGATTCGCGGTGTTATCCACGTAGTTGCCAAAATATTATGGAAGTCTATATATGCAAGGATTGTTTATGATTATAATTTGGAATTTACTTAACCTTAGGCTCTAAAACGCACAAAAAGCATTCAAAATTACATTAAGGAAGAATATTTACATTTTTATTGCCAGTTATTGTCATTTAAATCTATTTTTCTGGTTGCAACTATTATTGAAAATGAATTTCAGGAACGTATACTAGTTATTTTTCAATGTGGCAACGGTGTAAAGCAGAATCGTAGTTGTACGAGCTGGTTCATTCAAAAAACGCTTGCTTGCTCACACAAACTGTCTCCAATCAATTTAGTGGACATCTCGCTCTTTCTAATGCAACAACATCTCTATCTGCCTAACATAAAGCACGAGTTAGATACAAGTAAATTAGGGCTTAATTATGAATGAATCAGTCTAGTAGTTATTCGTCGTTGATTACTTTAACTTTTATGACATCATTTAAATAAAGTTTAAAAATTCGAATCAATAATTTGTACTCCAAATTTTATAATAATTTATAATTTTGTTTATTAGTTATCCCGATGATGTTCCTATTATTCATCTGGAATTTTTGTCGGATTCTCCCTTGACTGCTGGTGATCTATGTTCGGATTACAGTCTAGGATTGCATGAAACTGAACCAGACTCGTGGTCACCGTACGTTGGCAAAGATATATCTCGAAAGTTGAAGGAGAAGGAGGTCAAACGACAAGAGCATATTTATGAATTCATCCTGACTGAAAAACATCATTGTATGACTCTTTTAGTTATGCAGAAGGTAAGTAAGCAACCATTAATAATAATGGGTAACTCAGCGTTGTGGAGTAGAGGGGGTCGAGAGTTGTTAATGAACTGGATTGGGGTAGAAAGCTTGTCAAAAGACTTGAAATGCGACTCTATGGGCGCATACATTTTATTTTTCATCTCACTCGGGAGTATTTATAATAACCATTCTCTATTTGACATTGTTATTATCAGAGTACTAGACAATAACAATGTGAAATACTCCCGAGTGAGATGAACAATAAAAATGGCTGCGTCCATAGAGTCGCATCTAGTTCTATTGATACAACATGCACATTAGTATTCTGCCCCACTCTGGTTCATTAAAGTCGATGCGCAAAGCGCCAGTCAACGATTCCATGTTCCTTGACGAGTTGAGGATTTGAATTTACGTTATTTATGCAATTCGTAATGCAGATAACCAAAATCAATCAAGTCATTGAATCGGTGAATTCGGAAACCGTACAAGTCCAAAATTTGCATTCTAATGTAAGATAGCCATTTTGTTTAAAATTTGTCTCTTAATCGATTAAGCTTAAAAACCGTACTCAATAAGTAAAAGTCCAATAAAAAAAATTTTTCCTTTAAAAGTTACTTATTTTTTTATGAGTTTTAAGAATATGTAAAAAAAATGTGGTTCCAATTTGAATAAAAAAAGTTTACCTTGATATGGCCATATTATGGTCAGCTATAAAAAATTTAATTTAGCCAGAATTTTTCCCCCAAAAAACTATAAAACTTTTGTCTGAAATTTTTTTTTACAAAATGCATAGATTCGGCGGTATTTAACTGTAACACTTTAATTTGAACACCCGGTATACCTAGTCATTAAAGTAGCACAGCTGATTGCATCCGTGAAATGAAGAGAAAAACCGTACTTATCCGTGACTCGTACGGTTTTTCATCTCAACAGCAAAATAATGGTCAATTGCCGTAGGGCGAGATTACAGAAAAAGCAAGCCTACAACTTTGCAGATCTGCAAATATGACAGACTTACAGATGCAAGATGTAGCAATTTTTCGTATTCCAAAAAGCATCTGTAAATCTGCCATATTTAATGTAGTTTATTACCCCCTAACAGCAATAAACCCAAATCCAGAACTATCAGCAATAAACCCAAATCCAGAACTATGTTTAAAAACTGCGTTAACCTGACACCACGAACTATGGAATTTATTGGAATTGAGGGACTTCAATTGATTTAAGGTATTGATGGTAAATTTATGGTTAAATTTTATAAGGGGTAACATTTGGCTAAATGTTTACTATATAAATTTATTGGAATTGGTAGGTTTCACTTGATTTAAGATATTGATGGTAAATTTTTGGTTAAGTTTTATTAGACTATAAAAAATTGTCATTCCGCAAGTTTGCAGGATGTTCCGACCTTCTGCAAAGTTACAGATAATTTGCAAACGCAAAAAGTGATAACACATTTCTGTAATACCATGTTTCTCTTTTGCGATTGCAACTGATAGTTCCAGATGCAAGTACGATTTGCAGAGATTCTGTAATCTCGTCCATAGTCAGTTAGAAAAACATAAATGCTGAAAATTATGATTAGATGACAGTTTGTATTTATCCTCCTTTTTGAATAAATATTAAATAAATCAAAAAAATTTTATCTGTTTTTTTTATATACAGGACTGAGTTCAAAAACCGTAAAAGTCTATGCTCTATTTGCATCTGTCATTGGAAGTCCATTTTATTTTCGCATTGCAAACCACGAGATCTCAAACTATTCTATACATGAAAATTGTCTATATCAAATAATTTCAACGTTAAAAGGTTTTTATTGTTTTTCTCAGAATACTGATTTTTGACATGTGCGGTTTTCGAACTCACCAATTCAATTATGTTCTTTGCTACATGTCATATCATTTGTGAGTCGATTTATTTTTATATTAACCTTGTACACTGCCAGTTCTTGACATTTTGATTGTCTACTAGTAATAAATCACTACAAAAATTCTATCCTTTTTATATAAATTGAAATTTTACAATAAAAAAAATCCATTACTTTGTTATATTTTCGTTTATTTTTAAATATTTAATAAAAAAAAATCATTTTTAGTTTAATTCCCAATTGCGTTATGGCCTTGAATCTTGAATACGGTTTGACACTTAAAAAAGGATATCTCGCGCAGGATAACACCGGTATCACGGGAAACACAGAGGCGCATCGACTTCATTCGGCGCAGGCTGTGGTGTTACGCAATGATTGAATACAGTGCGCTGGAGTTAGGGTGTCAACGCAAAGAATGTTAGAGCGTAACCCATGTCTAACCGTTAAGACTAAAAACTACATCTTTTGAAATGAGAAATAATTAATATTACGGGGAACGCTGCTAAAGTTGCTGGAATCGAGTACTCCTTGAATTGTCAGCCTTCTACAATTATCATATTCGATAAGTTTGACGTTTTTAACCTATAAAATTCAGTTTGTGATTTTCGAGTAATGATTTTTTTATGATTTTAACGTATAACAACGTATAGAGAAACTTTTTTCGCTCTTTGGGGATTAAGCACCATTCAAAACGATAGTTTACAAATGTTGAGATTTTGCTCGATCGCCTTCATGTCAGTAAGCTTTGCAGTCGTTTTGATATTTAGTCTATTTTTTATATGAAGCAATGCCTATACCTATCTCTGCTCAGAAAATGCAAAAAAGCAAAAATTAAAAAACCAAAAAATTGACTGCATTTTTTTAAATTCTTTTTTAATATTTTTTAAATAAAAAAAAATGTTTTAATTAAATTATTTCGATGGGAAATCGCATTCTCTACAAAAAATTCCTATTAGCTAAATCTGAATTTTGCTTTGTTTTCGAGATATAGTTAAAAAACAGTAAGGGTTGCATTTTTACCCCTATTTCCAATTTCCACCCATTAATTCAATAGCATTCCGCGGTTTTTTCTTCTTTAATGACTATTTGAATAATTTAGGTGATAAAAACCCGCGAAAGTGATAGTTTTTTGTGCCCTCTTTTTTGGACATAATTAATAGCATATAAAGCGATTTACATAAAGTCATTTGTGTTTTGTTTTGCGTTTTTCGCGAACTTAAGCAGTTCTTCTCGAATACATGAGTATGAAGGTTACGACCAGCATTAGACTATAATAGATATTTGACCAAGATTTTCTATAAAAGATATTTGATTAAAAACATGATTAGTTTAATCAAAATAAATTTAAAAAAATACAGATGCCTTGATATATTCCTTGAAGCAAGGTTACTTGAAAATAAACGCGCCAGTTTTTTAAAACACATGCTGCAAAATAAAAATATGTCAGTTGGAAAACCAGAGGTACAATTGACTATAGAAGACTATGCTGATTGTTTTTAGTTCGTATTGGCGTTCCACAAAATAATTGCAAAAAACAAGGTAAGAAATTAGGTTCTTTTGTTATCTGAATCGCTATAAGCAAGATGCTATAATTATTTTTTCTGGCTTAACACGATTATAATTTAAATTTTATAGTCCAGGATCCGTAAGTAAGGTCGACCTTCACCCATCTGTTTAATGGATAAAAGTTTTTTTATTAGATAAAACATGTTTTTAAATATACCGCAAATGGGTTGCCTAAAAAAATACGATCACGGCCATTTTTTGCTTTCCTTTCTGTGTACAGATAAGGAAAGTATAGGAATCATGATAAAAGTTGCTTATGATGTCATTCTCTATTATTTTGTCCCTATACATTATTTTTCTAAAATGGACCTAATTCGAGAGATATTTAAGGAAAAGTGCAAATTTCTAATTTTGAAGACAACTCAAAAACGGATAGGAAGAAAAACATCAAATTTTAAACTTAAGCTTTAATATATCCTGCGGTGAGCTGATTAAAGTTTGGGCACAGTCGAAGCATCTGGGGAATACTTTACAGGGTGTCGTTTTTTTATTTTAAGAAAATAAATACTCTGGACCGTATTTTCTTAGGCAACCCTTTTGCGGTATATTTATAAACAAATTTTATTTAATAAAACGAAACTTTCATCCATTAAACAGATGGGTGAAGGTCGATCTTACTTCGGATCTTAGACTATTAAGCTAATTCAAATATTAAAGTCAGGGGAATCGATTTTATGTTTTCTTATGGGCTGCTTGAAAATGGTGAGCAATTACAAAAAAAAAAGGTCGGGTGCAGACCATATCGTAATTATAGTCAATACTGCTGTGTACCTAAAATAATTACGTTTATTCGCTAGTTGAAGAAACTGGCGGAAACCTTAAGAAGAGGCCAAATAAGATTTAGAAATTAAGGTAATCTAAATTTAGTCAGTCACACTAGTTTTGATATAGCTTTAAGTTAGTTTTGTATTTCAGTTTCGATTCTTTAACGTTTTGAATATTCTATTTTATTCATTAAACTTCGTTGTGATGTAATTTTTTTTTTGCTTTCAACTAGCCTCTACAAAGGAGTTTATAAGCAACAATGCCTTTGAAGCGTTTTAAAGGCACGTTTCACAAGACTACTTGAAAATTACCATTTTATATTTTAAAAAAGCTTCCCTCGACTACATAGTCTAACCCAGTCATTTTAGTTAAAAAAAAAAACCTTTCGATTTTTTGTTAACAGAATACAATTTCCAAAAAGTGTTATCAACTTGGTATTTTTTTTATAAACAGTCAAAACCATATGTGTGCACGAGCTTACAACTAAGTTTAGTTTCTATAGCTTGTTAATCAATGCAACAAATAAATACACTTAAATAGCGTAGATGTACATAAAACCTAACATAAACTATTCGAAAAACAATTTTAATAATAGCAATAATTTAAATTGAAGTGATTTTATTGTCTATTCGGTCATGTATGTAAAAATATCTTAGTTATATAATATATATTTTATCAAAACTAATAAAAGATCTTTGTCAAATATCTTTTATAGTCTAATATGGGCCTAAAAAAATACAGTTACAACATTATTTATATGTCGGATTGATTGTGTTATTTCATTTTTAAAGGTCTTTATTTGGTTCCCGTTTATGGATTTATTAATAACATATTCGTTTTGTTTGCAGATTTTTGTTGACGGATTGCACAAGTATTTCCAATTAGGGCCAAACTTGGAGCGAATGTTTCCAAGGCTGGTCGATTTGACTGAATTACATTTAGGATTATTAGCAAGACTCAGGCAGAGACAAAGGGAAAGCCCCATTGTTTCGTCTATAGCGGATATTCTTTTAGAAACATTTTCGAATAGTCATGCTTCAAAGTTGAAATCTGCTTATGGTAAATCAATTATTGCATTCTGTTTTCTCTATTCATCCGAATTAATGTTGCTTATTGATCTTTACAGGTGAATTTTGCAGTAGACATCGTGATGCTGTAGAAATCTACAAATATTACTTACAAAACGATCAGAGATTTGGTGAATTTGTGAGACACTGCCAAACGAATCCACTTCTTAAAAAGAAGGGGATACCAGAATGCATATTATTCGTTACGCAACGTCTTACGAAGTACCCTCTACTCATAGAACCTCTAATAAAAACTAGTAAAGAAAATAAACCGGAGCAGGAAGCTTTGCAAAAGGCTTTGGCTTTGGTAAAAGAGATATTGGTAGAGGTGGACGCTCAAGTTGCGGAGAAAGAAAAAGAAGATAGAAAGCTCGAAATTTATAATAGGATAGACGCGAAATCGAATACAGTGTATAGAGGACAAAAATTTAGAAAATCGGATATTTTACAAGGCAATCGGTCGCTTAAATTCGAAGGAGTCGCGATGCTGATGCAAGGAAGAGGAAAAATGCAGATTGTTTTGGTTATTGTGCTATCTGACGTTTTATTTTTCTTGCAAGAAAATTCGCATAAATATACGTTTTTCACTCCAGTAAGTAAAGTGAGTAAATTATTTCTCTATCTTCTCTCTTCTATAAGGTATAGTTGCGTCATTTGAATATTATTACTGTTACCGATAGGTGAAATTGATAAAATTATGATGAAATCAATTTTTATAGTAGTAATAAGTCCCTTTGGATATGACTGCTTTTCACTTGGGCAGTTCGACACACAAGGAGTATAGAATGATCAACCCTGCGCCTGGCTGCTTAATGTTCTAGGATTTTGCCCCAGGTAAATTCACAGCCTGAGTCGAGCTGGTGGCCTACCTGCTAGGTACTACTAGATGAATTTGTACCGTTCCGAACGTAGATGTCTTTTTCCACTACGGTACAAAGACAATTTTTATGTCTCAATTAAATTAGCGTTTATTCAGAGAAAAGTTATTGGACGGTCAAGACTACTTTTCTACGACCTGTAAGCACTATTATAAAAAAAAAAAAAAACTAAAAGCGTACATCGCACCCTCGGCCTCGCCTCAAAAGTGACATAACTCAAAATTCACACCTTTTCAGTTAATTAGTCAACAGCTCTGTCAAAACCTCAAAAATAACAAAAATAAGCCAAGTTAAAACAAGTTTAATGATTTGTGTAGGATGCGCTAGTTCAGTGATGATGTAATTATGGTTCCACTGGCAATTAAAGTGACAGTAGATTTTTTGAGTGGGTTTTGTTGGTTTTGTTTAGCTAAATTATATCGTTTTTTCACATTTATAAATATATTCCTAAAGTAAGTAGATAGCATGTATCAAATATCGTATATAAATCGTTTAGTTACCAATTACATACCTTTAAACTATTTTTTATGACCTGTAAACAATATTTTGAAATAAAATAAAAACATATATGTCAAGTTTATTGATGTTTTTGTTAAAAGTTTGGTTAGAATTAAATGTCAGTGGAACCAAAATGACATCACACTGAACTAGCGCATTGTTTGCTAATCACATTCATGGTATTAACTCAAACGATGTGAATTTTCAATTGGGTCACTTTTGAAGCAATCAGAATGTTTTTGTTAATAGTTAACTGTTTGGTATGAAGAATTAATACAAGAGCTGTTCTCTTTTCGCTGAACCGATCTAGTAGACGATGATATTTTTCCAACAAAGGACCTCACACTTATGTAAAGTGGCGACTGTAGAATTACCAGACCACTTCTAGGTTTATTTAAACAACACTCTCCTATTCGAAATAACGTTTATTTATCGATGAGAATAATATATAATTAACTGGAAATATTACGAGTTACAAAGCATGTTACTTGACACCTAAGACAACTGACAGTTTTCATAGACAAGTAGGCAACTGACAGTTGACGTTGACAAGTGTACCAACTTAAGAATACAAAGTATAACTAACTAATAAATTGTAATAGAATTGCACTAGTTCAACAGCGACCAGTCAAATTTTCAGAAACTTTATACTCAACATAGTAACATAAAGTGTCAATAGGCTCAACTCAATCATATGACTAGTTTTCGTTAAAGTAGAAAATTTCCTAATTTTTCAGAATGTTTAATTTCAAACCTACGACACAGCCTACGAGCTAGATTGAATTTCTGTTGCAAACACACGTTCTCTACATGTTTTAGTAATACATTAGTACATACGTACAATTAAAAATATTTTTAGTTACAGGATGATTCACAAATGTTTGACGGTAGGTTTTTTGCAAAATATCACTAATTTTTAACCGACTTCAAAAAAAGGAGGAGGTTATCAATTCGTCGCGATATTTTTTTTTTTTTTTTATGTATGTTCAGCGATTATTCTTTAACACGGTGTCCGATTTCAATGATTCTTTTTTTGTTAGAAAGGGGGTATTTCAGGGGTGGTCCCATATAAATTTAGTCAAAATCTAATAATTGGGTCCATGAGAAAATCCTCAAACTCTTCATTTTTTATGTATGTTCAGCGATAATTTTTTAACACGGTGTCCGATTTCAATAATTCTTTTTTGTTAGAAAGGGGCTACTGTAGGGGTGGTCCCATATAAATTTTGTCAAAATCTAATAATTGGATCCATGAGAAAATCCTCAAACTCTTCATTTTTTATGTATGTTTAGCGATAATGCTTTACCACCTTGTCCGATTTATACGATTCTTTTTTTGTTAGTAAGAGGGTACCTCAGGGGTGGTCCCATATAAATTTGGTTAAGATGTGGCATCTGCACGTTTTTGAAGTCGGTTTTTTTAAATTTTTAATTTGTAATACTTGTACTGTGTCGTAATTACACATTTCTTATACAGGGTGTTCTATATAGAGAACCACAACCTAAAATATTTTTTTTTTAGCATTAATTTATAAACCTGTACCTATGAATTGATTTTAGGGAATGGTAATACTACTTAAATATGTGTACCTCTAAGCTTCAAAATATACAAGGTGATTTATTTGTTAGAAAAGTTTAAGAAAAGTACAAAAACCACGAATGGTGTAACCATTTTTTTTAGTATATAATACTTTTACCATCTTTTTATGGGGAGTGAATTTTAAATCCGGATAATTATTAATTTTATGTTCTGTGTATTAAAACTTGCCACTAATATCGGAAAATGATGTGTATACTGATATATTTTGCAGCTAATTATAAAACAGATTACCCTGTATATTTTAAAATCTTATGGTTAAATACCTAATGTTTATTAACTTACTCAAAATCTACTAAAGATCTCTGTTTTAATAATTTCAAAACAATTATTTTTTGGGGTTGGCTGGATTACACCTTGTATAAAAAATACACATAGCTAAATCTTTTGACCTCAAAATTGTGAACGGGTAGATATTAACTAAAGGAAATAATTTCTCTGTGATGCAACTGCAAGAGTTATTGAGTGTTTGCAGAAATATATTGCGACATTCGTGAATCACCCTGTAACAAATAATTGAAACTGTCCCTCTTAATAGGCATCTCACTAAAACTTATATTAAACTTATATATTCTACATAAAGACAATCTAACTTTTCAGTTTAAAGAAAAAATAACTAAAATCAGTAATTATCCACTTTAACGCCATGTATCTCGAAAACAGGTCATAGTACCGGATTTAAAATTCATACCTCTTGAAATTATTATATACTGAAAAAATGGTTACAGTTGACCAGGGAAATTTTAAAATTCATGTTTTTTTGTTCTTTTGTTAATATAGAATATCTTCCAACAAATAAGCTGCCTTATATATTTTGAATCTTAGAAGTACCTATATTTTAGTAGTTTTGCCTTTCCCAAAAATCAATTTATAAATACAGGGTTTTGAATTAATCCTTAAAAAAATAATCTTCTTCTCATTATAAAGAAATGTGTACTGTGCAATATTTTTCTGATAAAATACCATATTGAATAGTACTTTCTGAAAATATGCTTTTCTGGCGTCACAGTAGAATTAGTGAGATTTTGCAAAAAATACTGTTATACATTTGAGAATCACCCTGCAATTAAAATATTTTTATTGTACGTATATAATAATATATTACTAAAACATGTATTTAACGTGTGTACGCAACAACAATTCAATCTATCTCGTAAGTAGGAAAATAAAAATTCCCAAAAACTGGGCAATTTTCAACTTTAATACTTTGTATATCGAAAACTAGTCATATGATTAAGTTGGGCCCATTGACACTTTTGGTTACTAGTTTGAGTACAACACCATACCATAGATTAACTGACCATACCAAAGTTTCAGAAAATTTAACCAGTCACCACTTTACATATGTAAAGTGCGGGGTCCTTTTTTCTAATATTTCAACTTAGTTGTTTACTAATTTAGTTAGTGACAGTAATTGTCAAATATATTTGATTGTAAGTTACATAAGTTTAAAGTAATCCTTTTGCCAATAAGTGAGCATAATCGGGCTGTGATTCTTTACAATTTCAAGTGTGGATTAAGCCGTAAATAATGTTTTTAGGAAATCAGTCGAGTTAGTGACAAGTCTTGCTCCTTCGCTACCATAAAGTGGTGGTACGAATGAAAAGGTTCGTGTTGAAGAAAGCTTCAACATATATTTGAATTAAAACATTTGGTCTAGAACGCCCCTGGCATTTATAGAAACTACTTAAAAGTATTGCATCACTCTTCATCACAATCCACAAATTGTTAATAGACGCTATCACATGAACACTAGCTCGCAGATTGTTGGTTGATCCTACCAGCGCGAAAACCCATCTTGCGAGAGCTTGGCGTCATCCACAGAATCAAATTCTCACTGCACCGATCAACACCATCAACAACGATTTCATAAACCGGCGTCTTTCGCCATGTTGAAAATTGTTCTTTTTATTTAAATCTTTCAAAGCCTATATAAAGGCTGTGATTAATGTTCTTAGTTAATTTTATTTTAATAAGTATCCAAAATTTAGTAAGTACGGTGATGTTAAAATTATATATAATACGGGATTCAAAATTAAAAAGTTTTTAGTGATGCCAGTAATTTTATTCCGTAAACACCCTAAAGAAAACCAGTGCAATCTCATGCTCTTCATTTAGTCGAAGGAATTTTTAAAAATGTAGAAGAATAATACACCAATCTCCAACAGTTGGCGAAAAGCGTCCAAGGGAAAGGATCATCTTGCATCAAGACAACGCTCAGTAACTCACTGCTGATGGAACAAATCAGTATTTGAATACCCAAAACATATAAATAATGGGGCATTCACTTTATAATCCAGACCTAGCACCTAATGGCTTTTACATCGGCTGAAAAAACGGTCAATTATGTCATTTAATGTTCAAAAAATTTCCACAATATTGTTTTATTGAATCAGTTTAAGGAGGTCCTTTCGCCACCCCTTTCGCCACCAATGTTAAATAAAAAATATTAGAATATGACTAAAATTTATTTTTTTTTTCTAATAGTTGAAGTCCTTATTTATCTAATGTTGAACTTTTTACTATACCTTACCGTGCAAATTTTTGAGAATTTGTTTTTAAAAATGTGAGTATTTGTGCAGTGTCTTATGAGAAAATAAGACCTCAACAACAATTCTCGAATTATATTATTATTTATTGATTAGATGTAGTAGAAAAAAACTAAAAATAGGGTTTTTGAAATATTTAGGTTTTGTTTTTTACAATAAAATATATAGGTTACCGTGGAATTTATTGAGAAATTAATATTAAAAAATCACAAAAAATTTTCAACTTGGTTACTTCAAATTTTTTTTTTAATATTAATTTCTCAATAAATTCCACGGTAACCTATATATTTTATTGTAAAAAACAAAACCTAAATATTTCAAAAACCTTATTTTTAGTTTTTTTCTACTCCATCTAATCAATAAATAATAGTAAAATTAATTATAATTCGAAAATTGTTGTTGAAGTCTTTCTCGTAAGACACTGTACAAACATACACATTTTTAAAAAAAAAATTCTCAAAAATTTGCACTGTAAGGTATAGTTAAAAGTTCACTATTAGATAAATAAGGACTTCTACTATTAGAAAAAAATTAATTTTAGTCATAATTTAATATTTTTTATTTAACATTGGTGGCGAAAGGACCTCCTTAAATCATCCAGTGTTTTTCGACCGTTGGTCCGTGGACTGGTACGCGAATATTTTTTGTCAGTCCGTGAAAAATTAAGTAAATTGAGGTGGCTATATTCAAATTAGGTTAAAATTATAATTTAAAATAATTTTCAATCCTTCAAGTGTTCAAATTAAGTCATAAAGCGATTAAATTGTTCTTCGAATTTTTATTTGTGTATCAACAATAAAAACTCTGCAGAATGGATATAAATGTTGTACTTCGTCTTTTAGAAACAAAACTGCCACCACGAATAGCTGATTCGCTAGCAAAGAAGCAACAGCAATTTGTATTTTTAGTTAATAAAAATATTATTTAGGTTCTTATTTCAGTCTTGATACTTCACCGTTCTGCAACATAATTCCTTTATTTTTGCCGGTCCGCAATTGTGAATAGATTGAAAACTACTGAGCCCTAAATAATAATAATAAAAAGCCGGTAACAAGCCAGTAGCAAGTACTTTTATTAAAATTCGTGGTTCTATACTTCTCCCTTATGAACTTTTTTTTTCTAAAACGGTTTCCTTTAGTTCACTCTCCTAATTCCTTCTATTTAGGTCATTTATGTAGTACAAATTTTGTTTATTTTTCTGATTACATTAGAGGAGTTTGGATACCCTTTTGTATCCAACATAAAATCTTTAAAATGCCTATCGATCCTCAGTAACTTTATTTCTATGATTTGATTATCTTTCTGTTGAAATTTAATGCGTTTAAATTTATGATAGTTGACTTATTCTCACTACTTCCTTTGACACTGTTTTATCTTTACAGTTTTTCTGCATTTTTACTCTAACTTTTGTTTTTAATAAGATTTGAATGTGATAAATGCTGCAACTATATTGTGTATTTTACTTATGTTATTTTTTATTTCAATTATGATGCGTTCTGTATTCTGTAAATAAAAAACACCGTTTTGTTTACAGACTGGTGTTGTTTCACTTCAGAAATTGTTAGTGAGAGAAATAGCAGGACAAGATTCAAGAGGCATTTATTTAATTTCATCAGATCCGGCTGATCCGGAAATGTTCGAGCTAAAAGTGCACAAACCTAAAGATAAACAAATTTGGATTCAAGCAATAAGGTAAACTTAAATATTAATAGTGTTGTCTATAGTAAAATAAAATTAAAAAAAAAACCTTCACTAGTACCTGCAGTGTTCACTTCTCTTATTCCACCAATTGTCGGTGATATATCTTTTTGCAAGGAGTTTTGATTCTTATTTTGTTCTATTTAAATATTTAACATAATTTTTGTTTTTAGAGAGGCAGTTCAGTGTTGCCCAGAAGATGAAGAAGACACGATAGCTCTAAGTTCAGAAGAGAAACAGACTCTTATGAACGCGAAACAGAATCAAGTTCGTCAACTTATCGGTGAGTATCTTTTGATTAATTCCCTTTCGCGAATATATATTGTACAAAATAATAAATCAAGGAGGCATGCAAAAAGAATTATCTCGCCATATTAGAAGTAGACCTTTCTATTACTTCTTACTTTAACGAAACTCTTTTGAACCAGTCTGTTAGTGTAAATATATTTGTATTGCTCTGTTCTCCTACAGAAGCAGATATGGACCTCGAAGGTAACTTTAACTACAAAAAACTGCATGTATTTCTTCATTTTTGGAATCAAGCAAATAGATTAGTTATCAATAATTTCTTTTCTTTTTTCTTTAAAAATTCAGAAATATTCATTGAAAATTGAAAAATATATAATCTGTCTCTACCTTGATAAAATCTGGCACGCAGCAGAAGTATTATTTAATGACATAATGTGCAATTTAAAGGTTAAAGAAGAAAAGTAAATGTCCCATTGACGACAACAATATAGCAGCCACTAATTCCACAAAAAATATGCAATATTTTGTAACGTCAAAATATTAATTTATCGTCCAAATTCTATACAATTTTAAATAATAATAATAATAATGCAAAATACAGTTTTTTATTAAATATCAATCGTTATAGCACAAGAGACCACTCCGTGATTTATACATTTTCTTGTGTTTTATTAAAATACGATTTTGATGAAAGATATTGTAGTCATTTATTGATTGTCTTGCAAAATCTTACTGCAACTACTCTTAATTAAAGCAGTTTTATTACATATTTTTAATCATTTAAGTTATTTTGTTTGCGAAACAACTGAAGCTCTTTTCAAAAATAATAAACTAAAGAGATTGAAAAAGAATAGATTGTTAGTTTCCACTTTTTTTAATAATGTACCCTCATCCACAATCAAAACATGCTTAACAATGGCGAGTATATGATTGATACATAATGGGAAAAGTGCTTTGTATCTCACAGTGTCATTTTAAATTCAAGCGCTGGAAGAAACAGGCTTATCTATACTGTTAGCAGACAAGCACTACTCACCTTGGACAGACCACAAATTTATTCAGGGTTAGTGCTAGAATGTTACGAAGCTTGGCCGAAGTAGCCATTAACAATGTGGTCAGCTTAAGATGGATCAAAGGTCACGCCACATCGAAAGGTAACTGTCTTGCTAATTCACTTACCAAGAAGGCAGCCAACCAAATACGTTTTGGACCTGGCCCTTCTATTGGACTGACATCGGTAGTTACAGGCCTAATTAAGGCACATTCCCTGGTGAAATTCAAGGAAAGATTGGATGAAACAAAAAACTGCAGGGTTGCCAGGGAGCTTTTAAGTTATCTTGGCAACACTACAGCAAACAAATTCTTGACTATGACTAGACAGAATCTGCTTGGTCACAGGCATTTTGACTGGTCATTGCCAAGTACGGAAGCATCTCCATATCACGGGACTGTCAGAATCTGTACTCTCTAGGGGGTGCGAATAAGAAGATGAGACCGTCGAGCATATCCTCTACAATTGCCCGACGCTCTCATTTAGTAGATGATTTGTGTTCGCCGATATAGCAGAAGCGCCTTTTGGCGACGTTGTCAACTACATTATATCTGTAGACTGGCTCGCGAGCTAGGAGGTGCCTATCTACTTAGGAGGATGTACAATGGGCCTAGTGAGGCCTAAGTGCCGTGGGTTAACCCACCCTCCACACGTTACAGATACGGAAAATTATTTAATACTAAATGTTTAACCTTTTTTATTCTTAATAGTTTTTGGCTTGTTTTTCTTTTCTTTTGTAAGTTATTACAATTGTGAGACTGGTTTTTCAAACTAGTTTAACAGAGTTACACTACTACACCAAATCTAAACACCTTACTCATCAATGAAACATTTAATCTAGATATATTTCGTTGACTACGTCAACATCATCGGAAGCCAAAGGTAAAATATGTAACGTATCTGTTATTATAAATCTTAATTTCAATGAATATTTCTGATTGATTATTATGCAATGTTTCATGTTTTATTAAGCCTTTTTAAATATTTTAATATAATTAATTGCATTTTAATTGTTATTTTTGTATAGTATTTTTTAAATAGATTATGGTAGCAAAAAAAAATAAAGAAATTATAGGCGAACTTGGTGAAAAGGTCCAAAAAAATAACAATTTGTTATATATAATTTAAATTAATTCAAAACTGTCCATATCATATAAGGAAATGAAATTAAAAAAAATTGTATTTAAAGTATGAAGAAGAAAAAATTATATTAATATAATTCCCTTTTTTAAGTCGAGGACTTTCGGCATTTAAGCCATCATCAGGACACTAAAAAGATTAACAAATATAAGAACAACGAAATAATAAAAAAAAATGGAAATTTACTCGTCAAAAAATATAATTTAGAACAACAGTTAATCAACAAATATGTTGATGCTCATACCGTTTGTTGCACAGTTACCTGCTTGGCTATCAGACTTTGATGTTATTTAACTTGTTGGTTTCTTGATATTGGTTATTCTAAGGGCCTGTCTTTTCACCTGTGAGTAAAGTTGAAGGTAACTACTTGCTGATTAAACTATAGGGCTATTGTTTGTTAATCTGCCAAGTTAACTAACATGTAACTTTACTGGTGAAAAGATCGACCCTAAACTATGTTTTTTAACGAGTAGGTTTCAAATTTTTATTTGATAATTCCTTTGTTCTTATATTTTTAATAATATTTTTAGTGTCTTGATGATGGCTTAAACTCCGAAACCTTTCGACAAACATTATTTAAATAGTGGATTATACTGATCTGTTCACTTTAAATACAAAGAATTTATTTTATTTCATATTACACAGCGTCTACACACAATATACCCTCTTGAATTAATTATATGATTGTTAGGTACATTAATATTTTCCTCTGGGGTAAAAAGTTAACACACCTTAAACTAACCGTATACAGTTCTTTCCGTAATGTCCTATTTTGGTGAGTTTTTCTGATTTATTTTGACACCTCATAGGCCAAGTGGTGTAACCTACAAAATGTAAATTTTACAGGAGGGTGAAAACCTAATAATATTTCACATAATTTTTATGATAACCGTATTATTTTATGAACATGACACAAAAAAATCTGATTAAAATAATTTATACAGGGCAAGAACTTAACTTCATTCAAATGATGCTTACAATATGCTTACTATAGTAGAGAAGACTGTGGTAGATCGACCTTCACTCATCTGATAACCAGATGAGACATATTTTTTAACGAAATTTTATTGATTTATTAACACGCCTATGGGAACTTGCCATTCGAAAAGTGTTCATGGCTATTTTTAATTAATTAAATTTTAATCAATTTTTTTTATAACCTTCACTTTTCTAATAACCGAACAAATTTAATTCTAACATAGTTTTTAACATGGAGAATATGCTCGGTAGGTTTGTTTACTTATTTCTGTTCATGGCTCCCTGGCAAGCAGGTATGAACAGGTAAGTCGATATAGGTAACTACACCGATATGTCAACCAATAAAAATTGATATCAGAAGAGAGATAATTTAGTTATGAAAATAATCGTATAGACTTGCCTGAAAAAAACTTTTCATGAAATACTAATACCATGCTTTAAAGTTTTAATATCGGAGCAATTAAATATGTGCGAGAGAGAAAGTAAAACGTGCGATGTCCGTGTGATAGAACAACAGTGGGATTCTCATCTTTCAATACGGCACGTGTTGAGAAGTCTCTTATCTTCGTCCGACAGAATGCGATTCTTATGTAATGTCTCTCTCTAGTCAACACGTAACGTGTTGATTTCGCACATCCCTGTCCCTGTCCTGGACACAATATAGCAGCTGCGCGCGACATGTTCGTTGAATGTAACCCAATGCGAATGCTCTTTTACATGCGATTGACAGAGACAGTGCTTATTTGTTGTTGAAAGTTATTTTGTGTCAACACGTGCTGAGTATTATTTGTAATTGGGAAATAAAAAAAAATGTAAAACATGAATAAAAAGTGTTTTTTATGTAGTTAAAAAAAAAATCACTTCTTGATTTTGATGATAATTCATTTCGATGACATGATAATTTTACTTGGAAACATACACAAAATTGGTCATTCGGAAGTTTGGCTAGCAAGTTCAGCGAACAAAAAGAAAACACAAAAGACCTCGATAGTATTAATTGCACTGATTTAGCTAAAAAATTAGGAACTGCACTATGTCGAAGTCTACCAGCTTTTCATGCGTATACTGTTTGTGAAACAGAACGGATGTTATGCTGCCAAAAGGGCTGATTCAAATAATCAAAATAAATAAATTAATAAACGTATTTGACACCTTACCTTTTGGAATATTGGACTGGTCGGCGACCTGCACATATAAAGCGAAGACACAAAAATTAAGCGGTGGCGAACGAACTTGTTACTGCTTTGGCGATACATCGATATCTCTTGGTTCTTCGAAAAGGTCCAAAGCATGAACCGTTTAGGTGGGGCAAAGTGTCAAAATAGATAACGCGAATTTAAATTAAGAAATTAATAAAGAAAATAAATCCATTCTCGAACAGTTTGTGATTACACAGCAGCTTTTTACCAAAAAGGTAAAGTTAGACCGTACAAACAATTTTCAAAAAATGAGACGTACCAAAATATGCGTTATTATTTTACGAAGCTGATATTTTCATGAATGAAAAAATGAAGGTTCTTCAGGGGTTTACTGCTAATATATATGGTATCAAGCACTGCACTAGTGTGAACGATGCCAGGTAACGCATTTTCCAAAAAGTTACTCTGCAAAAGAAGACAATGAAAAAAATTTTGAAACATTATGCCACGTGCTGGTCTTCTTTAATGTAAAAATTTTTAAAAACTATATACGTCAATTCTATGTGGCTTCATGCAACTGATTCAGACTAAAATTGTACCCTGAAAACTGCGGTTGGCTTTTAGAAAATAATTATTTAAAACCAATTGGATTTGTTGGGGATCAAACACCTTTGAAGATAAACGACATCGTGTAAATGACGGAAAATGTAAATGAAGACAAATTATCAGAGTCTGAAGATCTTTATGTAGCTTCAGATGATTTAGATTTTGAATATTAATTACGAATTTTATAATATTATTTTTCTATGTATTCCATTTGCTTTGTAATAAACGCTTTTGATACCATAAATGTACTGAATAATATTTTTCTACATTTATTTTTTTCTGTTATTATATTAACATTTTTTTACTTAATTTTTAGATAAAAAAAATATTTTCTCAAATATGTAATTTTATTTATTTAATTATTTATTTTTTATGATTATTAAAGCATTGCATTAGTATTCCATGAACAGTTTTTTGCAGGCAAGCCTATACAATTATTTTCATAATTAAATTATCTCTCTTCTGATATCAATTTTTATTGGTTGACATATCGGTGTAGTTACCTATATCGACTTACCTGTTCATACCTGCTTGCCAGGTAGCCATGAACAGAAATAAGTAAACAAGCCTACCGAGGCATAAAAAACTATCTGTTAAAATTAAAATTGTTCGATTATCAGAAAAGTGAAGGTTATAAAAAAAATGAATAAAATTTATTTAATTAAAAATAGCTATGAACACTTTTCAAATGGCATGTTCCCAATAGACGTGTTAATAAATCAATAAAATTTCATAAAAAATATGCTTCCTCTGGTTATCAGATGAGTGAAGGTCGATCTCCCACGGTCTCTTGGCTTTGCTTTAAAAAATATTTTTGAGGCATTAAATTCAGGTTGCAGGATACATCCTTTGGTCTACTAAAGTATTTTGCCCCATTCATCCGAAATGAGATTTATATCCATTTTCATAATTTTGAGGGTTACGCCCATTTGGTCTATGAGGTATCGATTTACCAAAAACTCACATATTATTAACCCAATTAGTTTTGAATTATTTGTAATAATTATACTGATTTAGAAAACAAACTAACATGTTTTATGGCATGTAATTACCTAAGTATCTAATATTTTCTAGAGAAGGCATGAATATTTGCATGTTATTTCTAATTAAACGAAAAGTTAAAACAATAAACTGTTTACGCAATGTTGCTGGTTTCAATCTACACCAGATGGAGATTTTTCTAAACCGTAGCAAAGTTTACACAAAACACGTTAAAAATAACAAGAGTTGTTGATGCATTAGACAAATAATGTAGAAAACTAATTTTAACTAGGTTAAGTTTTTTTTTTTTTGAAAACATAAATTTGCAACATTGACTAAACATTCCACACTTTACTTTTAAAATGTTTTAATGAAACGTTTTCATCTGCATTAACTACCATTTTCTTATAGAACATCTCTAGTTTAAAAACGTATAATATAATACAAAATAGAAATTCTCTATTAAAAATTTAGATTTATTCTATTAATTGATTTTGATTTAAAATTGAATGCAGTATTTTTAGATTTTGTTTATATCTTTATTCATCCCTGCATGTACCGGGATAACTCGTATTTAACATACTTTAATTATTCATTGCGATAAAAAAAATACATTTTTTGCAATCTTAAATACGTATAGTAACGCCGAGGCTTATAGGTCAATTGCGACAGAAGGATATAGAACAGGCGTTATTATTAGAAGAGAAAATGTCGCTTCAGTTGCGACTTTTGGCTGCTGCTGGATTGGAACCTCCTTCTCCTCCATCGTACAGACATCTTGTGAGTGAGAATGCTGATACAAGTCAAATGTGGAAAGAAGTTTTAACAGCAGTTCAAGTAAGTTATTTTTAAAAGAAATGGTCCATCTAAGTTTATAATCCATCACCTTCATGGTTTTAGTCAAATTTAGTAGTTTATTCTTAATTTAGCACCCCTTTAAAATAAAGTGCTTAAATAATGTTTCCCTGACATTAAACTTTAAGGTCATTACAGCACCCCTTATAATTTTTGGACAAGCATATCTCAAAAAGTATTTTTTTTTAAATTAAAATTTTGGCAAAATAAATTAGGAAATAATATCTAGAATACCTATGCATATATTTTAAAGTTTTAATTCCTTCCAGTTTCCAAGAAAAAAATCAAAGGTCTTTAATTTTTGAAATATAATTAAAATAAATGCATTCCTCAACAGCACTATTTTTAATATAATCCCCAAATTTAAGCTCTTAATCTCTTGTTAATGATTTTTTTAAATTCGCCGAAATTAGTGGCTAAAACGTCTCGTTAAGTGCTGCTTTCTGGTGTAACGCATCTGTAATTATCGTATCGTACACTATCAGTCATCATTCGTTTCTTGCAACGATTTACACCAGAAGATAGCCCTTAACGATGCGTTTTAGAGTAATTTTGGCGAATTTTAAAAAATCATTAACAAGACATTAAGAGCTTAAATTTGGGGATTATATTAAGAATAGTGCTGTTCAGGAATGCATTTATTTTCATTATGATATTTCAAAATTTAAAGCCCTTTGATTTTGTTTCCTGGAATCTGGAAGGAATTAAAACTTTAAAATACATGCATAGTATAGTCTAGATATTATTGCCTAATTTATTTTCCCCAAATTTTAATTTTTTTAAAAAAATTACTTTTTGAGATATGCTTTTCCGAAAATTATAAAGGGTGCTGTAATCACCTTAACGAAAATATGATATTTCAATTTTTTAATGAAATAATTTGAATTGAGAAATATAAATCCTAAACAACTACCTGTAAGTACATTATTTAAAGTATATGAGTCAAAAAATGTCAACAATTTCATAATTTAATTATCTTTTACATAGGTTTTTTTCTTTCTGTTTAGATAATTGTTTATAGAGTATCGTATCATTCGCATATATAGCAGGGGCAGAAGTTGGAAAGGCTTTTGCCAGTTCTCCCACTTCATATACATAAATTGACAGGTTTGCAGCGGATCTATCCGAAGTGGACGCGACACATTGGCGTACAAAATGATTTTAACAATTTCGAGTAAATAGTTTAATAAATTGTGAACAACTGTTGAAATTTTGCAGAATTATGATTTGGATATTATATGTTTAATAATTATTTATAGTTCATAAATACATGCGATTGTCCGGTTCCGCTGGTAACAATTTAAAATTACTTATTCTATGAAACGACACTGGCAGGTAAACATTACTGCGAAATTCTCGAAGTCGTCCGACGTGGTTTGACGTTTACCCCCTCTCTGTCTACTAAAAGCCTTTCCAACTTCTGTCCCTGCTATAACAAGAATTACTACCCCTACCTGGTATTGCATTCTTGCGAACGAGAAATGTTTCCTACTTTCACTTTTAGCACATTTCTGACTAAACTGAATCCGAAAACGCAAAAAAAAAATCGCCTGGTCGGTCGTCTGTGCGTACTTATATGCGCCGACGTGATAGCTCTCGAACGAAAGAGCCATTTGATCATTTATTTCAGCCGTGAACCCTATTGATTTTAAGAATTTTTGGTTTAATTTTAAATGCGGTGATGAGTTATTTATAAATAACAATCTAGTTTTTGAACTGTTATTTCATTTAAGTGATTTTAGATCTTAAAATATATTCCTAAACAGATAACATTTAATTAAATAATCATTTTGTTGTTTTTTTTGTAGTTTAATATTTGGTAATATAATCTACAAATTACAATTATAATATAATTGATTTATTACACCTTTGATTAGTTTTATTTTTAAAATTTTGAGCAAAATATGCGAATACATTCATCAGTCACTGCGCTAAATTAATATCATGCTAATTTTTACATAAACCTTTGGTACATTTATAGTGTTACTGCAAGAACAATATAGCTTCACTGTCGGCATTTTCAAGTTAAGTACTCTTTCGTCTCCAAAATAGTTCAAATAATATATGGCATAAACAAGACAAGTGTGAATGAAATCTGTATTCATGATAAGCAGATGGCCAACAAAAACTATCTCCATATTAATACATTCACAATATTCATAAACAAGATGAGTGGCATTTACACACAAATATAATCAAAATTGTATTCAGTTGCTAATAGTGTGTCTTTCAAAACCATATAAGAGACATATAACTTATTTTTGCTAAATGTCTTTAGTCCGTTTCTGCCAATACAAGATAAATGCAAGTTTGCTTATTTTTGTTAAATGTATTTGTTGAAATACTTCAATATTTTACTCAAACCATTTGTTTTGTTTTGCCTAGAGTCGTCTCTGGCCTTTTCTCAATTGATCCGAAATCGACAAGGTTATTATGTCACCCTTTCTTTCTACGATACAGCTAACCTTCAAACACCAATAGATTATAACACGTGATGGCCGAATCGCTGTGGTGAATGATTGATTGGTCAAGCCGTAACGAGTAATTGGTCAACCTGTAACGAGCGGGGATGATGCTCGTCTCCATATTGGTTTCACGTTAAAACGACCAGAAGCTCTTCTTAAATCATCGAAACAATACCTAAATACCAGATTTTCGCATTTCTTAAAAAACCCAAGTTTTTGCAGTAACCGGATAGGATATATTTGTTTTTTGTTTTATTTATTAGAGATTCCCATAAACTAATTTTAAATGGATGGCCTAAATAAAGGGCCATCATCCAAAAATATTGTGGCCCGTGTAACATAGCAAACACATATGTGGCCCGAAGGAAAAAAAAAGGTTGAGTATTGCTGATCTAGATGCAAGTATCTGATGTACAACAAAAATAAAATAAAATTACATAATTAAAAGTTATAAAGTGATTTTTTTATTAACAGTAAAAACTTATACAGTGTGTGCCATAAAGTTTGATCCATGTGAAGTATTTATTTTTAAAATATTATGATTGAAGCACTTTTGCTTATTTTAAAACTCAAAATAGCCCTTATCAAGTTTGCTACTGACATTGCTGATATAACCAATTTTTTTATGAAAAATCGTAGAAAAATTACCTTTTTTTTTTTAAATATAAAAAAGTTAATAAAGATACTTGTTTCTAATGACATTTTACGTCATCTTACCGACTTTCAACGAGATATTCCGACTTTAAGAACATTTTTTGATACACCTACGTAACTAATAATTTTGCATTAATTGAAAAAACTTAAAACGGATGAGAAAACAAAAATTCCATACCAATTTTTGTTAATAATGTTCGACTGTAGAGTTGTTTTTAAGATTATTTAAATTATATAAAAGCAAATGGAATTTTCTACCAAGTAAACATTACATAAAAGTAATTTAGGTGTTAAGTTTATTAAATTTTGATTGCAACAATGCTTGTTATTAATTAATCGAATTCTAATCATTTTAATTATTTTCATGGAAATTGCAAAATCATCCAGAAAACTCCATTTTCTTCTGCATAATGTTAATATTCGTAAAAAATAACCACATCGTCGAATATTATTAACAAAAAATGGCATGGAATTGTTGTCTTCTCGTACCTTTTAAGCTTTTTCAATGAATGCAAAATTTCTAGTTACAGGGGTGTATCAAAATCTGTTAAAAACTAAAATTTTATTAGAAAGCTGAGATGGTATGAGAATTTGTGTGTAACGACGGGAGTCTGAATTTGATTTACTTCAAGTTTATGAATTCGGACATCAAATGGCCCTGAGATGGACCAATTGGTTAGCAGGCGGACGGCCCAAATCCGAGGTTCCTGGTTCGATTCCCGGTCTCGCACGTATTTTTTCTTTCAGCTTATTTAATTTTTCTTTGGTTTGTTTTCACTTTGGTGATATGAGGGTGTAATTTTTATAATTTCATAAGAAGAATTGGGATTTTTTCATTTTCAGAATTTCCAAATCTAAAATATTTGGTTCAAAATCGATATTTTGACATAAAATGTAATTAGAAATAAGTTTTTCTAATAACTGTTTTATATGTTTTAAAGAGGCAATTTTAAACAGTTTTTCAGAAAAATTTCAAATTTGACAATTGCAGTAGGTATAGCCAACTTTAATATGGACTATTTTAAGTTTTTAAATAACTAAAGGTGTTTGCCCTACGACTTTTTTTTTCTAATCGTAATATAAAAAAATCCCATATGGATCCAAATTTATGGAATACATTATGTACAGGGTGTCCCAAAATATGTGGGCAATTTCCAGGATTCAGTAAGAACACAAAAAAAATAAGTTTTTATACATTTTTTTTCCTATGACCTCTACCTGTTTTCGTAGATATGATCCCATAATATTTTTGGACAGCTTATACTAAAAAAAAAGGTACTCTTAATCAATATCGATAAAATTACTTGTTTTCAATTAAAATGGTTTTTTGCATTGGTTGTCACTGATAAAAAATATTTTTTGTAGTTATGGTTTTTTGACGGGTTTGATTGAATATGTCGGTTCAATATGAGCACATTCTAATCGTATGCATTCCCAAGCTCTAAAAATTGTTCTCCCCTCCACAATACCTCAATATTATTCTTTATTTCGCGACAGTAAAAGTTAATCGTTTCTAATAAGGTTTCTCCATTGTTAGGTGGATTGGCATATACTATTTTTCTTAAATATCCTCACAAAAATGAATATAAGGGATTTAGGTCTGGTGATCGAGGTGGCCAATGCACTGATCTTCCTATTCATCGATTTCCAAAGTTCCTGTTTAAGTATTCTCGAACTACTCGTCTAAAATGTGGTGGGGCCCCATCATGAATGAACCACATGTCACGTCGTATTGCCAAAGGTAAATCTTCTAAAAGTTCTTGAATATTGTTTTGAAGAATTTCCAAATAAACAATACAAATGGTCCATTTAAATGTTGCCCGATGATTCCGGCCCACACGTTGACAAGTTAAAATTGGTGGTGATGATGCACTACAATAAAATCATGCGGATTTTCCTCTGCCCAAATATGCAAATTATGGGAGTTTATGATGCCGTGTTTAAAAATTCAAGCTTCGTCGGTAAACACAACTGAACCCAAAACAATTGTATCGTTTCTGTGCCGATCTAAAACCCAGTTAGAATATTCGCTCCTTCGCGGAAAGTCTTCGGGAAGAAGCGCATGGAGTCTCTGAAGGTGAAAATGGATACAATTGTTGCTCTCTAAGGATTCTAGATACCGTCGATTTTGAACAATCAAACTTGGCAGCCAATGTTCGGAAACTTGTAGAAGGATTATTTTCTGTGGCATTTAAAATATTTTCTTCGACACCCACACCGCGATCAATTTGAATTCCACAATTGTGACTGGATTTGGCAAACTTTTATAAAAGTATTTCCGGTTCTTTAAATTAAATCTCTATTATACGGTAAGCGCAAGTAACAAATCAAACGTCGTATTTTTTTAACTGTTTCATATATATAAATATTTTATCAGTGAAAACCAATGCAAAAAAACACTTTAAACGAAAACAAGTCATTTGATCGATATTGATCATACAGGGTGTAAAAAATATTAGCATTATTGTGTTAAAGCTAGTCCGTCCCTGGCAAATTAAATAAACCAAATCGTCGCCCTTATCACGAAGTGACCTAACCAACAAAAATTAAAAAAATGTTTTTTTGTGCGGATTAACTAGTCTTGACCTTCTTTATCATCTCACGAAGTGGCACATCCACAACCTTAATAGTGCATGCAATACAGCATATTATTTCTGTGTCCTATCTGCAATAACGCTTAACGATATGAGAATTACGTATTTTCGTTTTATTGCTGTAAAATTTACTATTTGTCACTTATGCCACTTCGTGATGAGGGCGACGAAATGTGTTTAAACTGGTCTATCGAATTTAAAAATTATTAAATTATACAAAGGACTTCAAAATTATTAAAAAAAAAAAAATATCTTCAGTGGTGTCCATTATGGGACCATATCTCCGAAAACGAGGGTCGTAGGAAAAAATGTATAGGAATTTGCCATGTTATTTTTATGTGTTGTATATGAATCCGAAAGATTGCCAAAATATTCTGATACACCCTGCATAAATAATAAGCATTACATCAATTTTGACACAAATTTTTATAATTATTACTAATTAACTTTTTAGCATTTTTTATTTTAGTAATAAATTCTTTAAAACAATACAAACAAATGGAGGTTAAGTGTCAATTTGAATTTAATTTCTAATATTTTCAAGATAGTATTCATCCAAAATCATACCATAGCAATAATTATTACAATAAAAATAATTTATTTGCATACCTTTAAACTACTTTATTACGACCGTCCAAAACAATATATATTAAAAAAACTAAACTTTTATCTTAAAATCATTGACAGAATGTTTTATTTTTGTTTGGCTCACATTAATACAGTTTTAGGAACGACTGTCGTTTACCAAACACAAACTTTTTATATACTGTTGCCGTTCTTAAAAGTAAAATAATTTATTTCAAGTTTTTTTTGCCGATTTTATTTGTATTTTGGACGTGACATCGAATTTAATATTTGTACTACAGAAATATTAACAAAATTGTTCAAGAGTGAAGGCACCAGAATAGAGCCCTGTTAAGTTTGTAAGAACGTACAAAATTTAAAATCTATTTTTGTAAAAGTATCACACTTTTTGTTCACGACGTTTGCTTAAAATTCATTATATAAATTTCAGGAGGTGAGTCATCTAGCTAGTTCGTTGTATACTACTGGAACAAATCTTTCGAGAAGCGTAAGTTCCGTTGGGGAGCACCAAAGCGAGACCTACGTCTCGCCGATATTACCTAAGAGGGCGGAAACCTTTGGTGGATTCGATAATAATCAAGGTCCTCTAAAATTGCTGGGAAAAAAGCTGTCGACGTCCGGAACACCCGCCGGTACTCCTGACTTCGAAAATCTCAAACCTGGTGATTCGAGATTATTTGTAAGTAAATTTTTATTTATTTAAACATTGATTGTTTTTTCCCATCCTTTTGTATGGCTAGCAAAAATAGTATGTGTTTAGAAATGTCAAACAATTAAATATACCTTTATCCATTTTTTTGGCTGTAGGCGGGGCGCTATTATCCATTTTTTGGTGTAGGCGGGACGCTCTTGATGACGTGACTGATCTGTTCTTAAAGCAAACAAATTATAGCTGACATTTGTTTCACATACAGAATTGGACTTAGTTATACTATTGAGTTCAAGGGTCAATATTTCTTTTATTATTGAGTTACCGCAAACATAGCATTTTAAAAATGTTAATTTTATGCATTTTATAAACGGTCAAAAGTAAAGAATTAACATTTAAATTACTCTGTATAATTTTTATAATTGGTGCGGGTATTACGATGAAAATACATAAAAAATGGTTCAATTATTTCAAAAACCTTCTGAATATAAAACGTAAAATATGTCTATAACCCTAAGTGACTTGATAGAAAAAAATGAAATACCTCGGTAAATTTTAATTGTATTGTTTCTTACGAGTTAATCAAGTCGTTTAGTATAAATCAATGTATAGGTGATGATGCTCGTATATTTAAAAGTAAGATTAATTAAAAGTTATTTATGTACCAGGTCAGCAAAGTGATTCTTTATTGAATTAGTCTGAGATTTTGAGCCGAGCGAGAGAGGCGAGCGATGCGAAGTAACAGGCGAGTCCGATAAAGAAACTTTGCTGACGTAAATAATTATAATTAATAAAAAAAGAGATATTACATCACATTTTTTTTATGACAAAGTAAAACAGAAAAGTAACAGCGAATACAAAACAAATCAGTTACAGAATATTTCTGTCAGACGGTCATGACTATGTTGATAAGTATTAGCGGCAGATAAAATATTTAATTTTTAACCGTCATATAAAGTGTTTGTTTATTTCTGCAAATCGCTATGGTAATGCATGGCTTTACTGACGGTTGGCAATAAAATATATTATGACTAATCATTTAATTTTTCAAATCCTACTCACTTTCCTTATTTTTTATTTTCATTATACTACAATAAGACTTGAATCATTACCGTTACTGATCTGTCTTGCTGTCTTATTGTTTTAAATTTTTAATAACAAAGTAAATTGAAAAACTTATCTGACCAACCATGCATTGTTAAATTATTAATAATTAATTTATATTTTTTATTGTTAAAATTTGCTTAGTATCTATTTGAGTTTCGAAGAATAAAGACAAGTTATTGAGTGGATCTGATAAGAAAGTGATATAAATAAGGCGCAAAAAATAAAATGAGTAAACTACAGTGATAAGCAGTGACAATGAGCCGAAACAACGACGTCACAAATAAGGTGTTTAATAAACTTAAAGGGTCTTTTACGAAACAAAGAGAAAAAGTTCGAGTTATTTTTGTGGAATACAAGTCAAAGGGCAGTACAATAACAAGTTTTAGAGTCTGTTCTTTTAGATAAAAATACAGTTGCATCATAGCGGTATGCGCGAAAGTGTCGTCATACTGTAAATGTGATAAATCAGTGGCAAACTGTTTCACATTTGTAGGTTAACACAAAGTTAGTTTGTAAAATAGTTTTTTATATTTGATAAACATAGATGCTCTAATCCTTCCGAATACCTTAATAATGTGTAAAAAACCTACATACAGTGAGTGCCTTGATAGTTCGGATTAAAAGTTATTTAAAAAGTATGTTAGCTTGAAATCTGGTAATATGTCAATATGTTTTATTTAATGAAGAAATTGTCAATTTCAAATCAGTATGTACTTACCAACTTTAATATTATTCATAAAACGCCATCAATATGTATATCTGTAAGGTGGGGTGGAAGGGTGGGTTGCCCCGCATCACTTATGCCTCATTAGGCTCATTGTGCATCCTCCAGCGGCATAGAAAACCTGCTGGTTGTCGCTGAGGAACACCATCCATATTATACTCTATATAATCATTAGGAGTGAGGGTAGCCATATGTAAATGGTTAGGATTGAGTACAAAGGCTGTAAAGAAAAGTTCTTTATTTCTCACAAAGTCAATTTATTGGCGACCGGTTTCGAAGTGATTACTTCATCATCATGCACACCTAAATGGAAAGTCATGAAGTCAATGTATTGAAAGGAGAAAATTATTTAATACAAAATTGAACAAACATTATAAAAGGAAACAAAGGTGGAGGTTAGTAATAATTTGACATATCCTGTTTAGTTCTTAATTAAATAAAGTGGACTATATAAAAATAACGTATACATTACAAAAAAAAAAATATTATTATATGCAAAAAAACAGGTCAGCCCTATACAAAATTAAGTATGTTGCTGACTTTAACATAAAAATGTACAAAAGAACCAGACGGTTCGGTGGCGCCTGACGCTACTGGGGTTTGCATACTATCAGACCACCCAGTGAATTAACCATATCCATTACGGATAAGCTACGTAATTTTACCATATAATGATAAAAGGTCGCTGTGAATATATATTAAAAATAATGACCGAGAGATTGTTATATTTTTGTTTTTTTTTTATAAATATTGTTATTTTTTTGTTAAATTTTCAATTTTGTATTAAATAATTTCCATGACGTTCCATTTAGGTGTGCCTGATGATGAAATATTTACTTCGAAACTGGTCGCCAATAAATTGACTTTGTGAGAAATAAAGGACTTTTCTTTACAATTCGTACTCTAATGTAATAAACTATGACACCTACTTAGGGTGTGAAATAATTAATTGGTTTGATATCTAATTGCATTTTTTCAAATTTTAACATCTCTTGCATCAAAACCGGTAAAAATTGAGCATTAAGACTATTATTTTCAATACTATTTATATTTATTAATAAATGTGTTCCAAAATGAAATTTATTAATTATCGCAAATTTCCCAATTTTTTTTTCGGCCTCTATAAAAGTTTCAACATTTATTTTATAATTGAAGTCTTTCAAAAAAAAAAAAAACATGTTCAAAAATTCCCATATTGAGTTAACTGTAATAATTAGTGGCCAATTGTATTTACTGACACAAACGGTGATTTCTTAAAATACTCAAAAATTGCAAATATTCTGCAACTAAATTCTTCCAAACACAACTGCAAACTTCACAGACAAAAAAAGGCATCGACAAACGTTTACGAATAATAAATCGCGGCACGTTAACAAGTCAAAATTTTATTTCTGCAACTGTCGTCTTTTATGACGTCTCTGTATTTTTCTTTAACGGAGCGGACACTATCTACGGTAATTATGTACGTCTTTTGATGCTAGTATGGGCTAGTTTACAAGCAACCATAGTCCATATCATCCTCAAGAGTAGTCTTTGAGCTAACCCATCCGTTGTATAGAGCGGATCTGGCTCCAAGTGACTTTTTTTATTTGGGAATTTAAAATTTGAAAAATCATCTCAGGGGACATTTTGTAGACGATTCGTGATTGAAAGAGGATATTGATGCCTGTTTTGAAGGTCTTTTTGTCTTTCTTTCACTGTTAGGAATGAAATTTTTTAACATTTCCCTCACAATTTAAAATCTGCAGATTTGTAAAGTTAAAGTATTCTAAAAAGTATATTAAAGTTTTATTTATATTATCAGTCAGTAACGCCTGGGAAACATTCACTGTAGAATATGCCAATTAAATTATTTAAAAATATAAATTGCAAATATTTCTCACTTTAAAAGTATATCAAGTGCTTTTTATGAAAACTCAGAAGTAATTCAATATCCCTGTTTTTGTTTCACATGCTTTTGTTTATTTAACAATTTTAACACCTGCTTTATTGCATTTTTTCTAGGAACGGTTGCCTTATAGAAATTGTGTGATAACAGCAGGGCCTTTAACTAATGGTAATATATTAAATGTAAGTAGCGAATCTCCCAATCAACAACATAATATTGCGTCAGCGCCCGACGGTCCAGCGTTACTTTCACTCGGCAGAGAGCAGCAATACGCGGCCATACAACTGTCGCATTATGTTTACACGTTACTGTGTATCATTTCTCAGCTGATGACAACTAACGAAAGGTGAGTTACCTTTTGATATACTATTAATTTTAAACGTTTACAACTTATGTTTTATGAGTGAAAATAATTTTTACTTTCTCTCGCTTGGTTTCGTTCCGTCTCGAATTAAATAATAGTATGATGTTAACAGCGTATGCGTAATATTGTTGTTCGCATTTGAAAGTTTCTGAAAGTAAAGTTTTTTTTTAATACGTTTTATAAAGTTTCATTTTTTTGTTAAGTAATTGTGGTTTATTAAATAAAATTTGTAAACTTTAAAATAAAATACTTTATTTACTAAGTGATATGAATAAATTAATGTGCCGGTAATATTTTATTGAGTAGAAGTAAAATATGTACGTGAATTTAAATATTAAAAGGTTAGTTTAAATTCCATTATCATTTAAAAAAAAAAATATTCGACCAATTATCAATTTATTTAATATATGGAATGCTATCAAAAAGTAATTTTATTAAAGCAATAAAAATATTATGCGAATGAAAAATCGATTGATTATAAAATTATTTGTAAATTAACAAGATACTGTAGGAGTTTTTATGTAGGACAGTGTGGGCCAAGTACAATTTTGAAACTACTAAAAATATATAGCTTGATTTTATGTTTTTATGGAAATATCAATAAATTACATAATTATAATGATAAAATAAGTTCAAAAACTTTACAAAATTTTAACTAATTCATTTATTCATTATCTTCTTTTTTTTTGACAAAATATATTAATCTTGGTTCTCCAAAGACTATTTTATGAAATCCATTTCGATTAAGCACATAAAGTGTTATTTTAGCATATTTAAATTATTTTTTTAGCTGACAGCAAATTCATCTAGTTACGTAGAATCAGTGTTGAAATATCGCTATGTTTAATAGCAGTTAAGACATGATAGTATAAAAATATTTCATAATTACGTTAACAGAAATATTTTGTTACATTATTTTCATTTTACCTTGTCAGAATATTAACTTATTCTTCTTCTTAAACTTATTATGAAAATTTTTGTATTGTCTTGTGGTATTTCTTAAAGTGCCAACGGTGTAAATTGTTTATCCATTTTAATAATTATTTATTCTCTAATCACATAAATTATTAACTTTTTGGAATGACAATGACAAAACAGATTTTTTTTAATTATCAAACCTCATCAATTTAAAACAAACGTTTACAAAGGCCCTCGCAATTTCCTTATAGCAAATGACTTTCAGTTAAATATTCTGAATTTTATGTATGACTAGTGTTTGAGATACAGGGTGTTTTTGTGAATCCTCATAATTTTCAAAAATACAAGATGTACACGTTGTTATTTTTCAGATATGCATAAATATTAAAAATTTCGTTTTAACTCTCTAAAAATATTTGTGACTACTAAAATATAATACCAACTTTTTTGGAAAACAACTATACCGGGTGTTCAAATTAAAGTATTACAGCTAAATACCGCCTTTTATAAAAAAAAACGTTTCAGACGAAAGTTTTATAGTTTTGTGAGGAAAAAATTTTGGCTAAAATCGTTTTTTATAGCTAACCATAATATGGCTAACTTTTTTTTCGCCCAGCAAAATTTTCAAGTAGCTGTTACTCAAAAAGTAAAAGTCCAATAAAAAAAATATTTTCCTTAAAAGTTTCTTATTTTTTTTTTGTACTTTAAGAATATGCAAAAAATGGGGTTCCAATTTAAAAAAAAAAACAAAGTCCACCTCGATATGGCCATATTATGGTCAGCTATAAAAAAATGAATTTAGCCAAAATGTTTCCCCCAAAAAACTATAAAACTTTTTTTTCTAAAATGCATATTTTGGCGGTATTTAACTGTAACACTTTAATTTGAACACCCGGTATAGGGTGAGTAATTTTTTAAATTAATGTAGAAAAACTACCATTTAAAAATCGTTTAACGCTTAAAATAATGATTATCAATGGATTATTTATATATAAGTGTGTAACGACATATTATTATTATTATAAAAAATACACGTATATGGAGTGAGTCAATAATTTGGTTCAATAAGTGTCGCTATTATAATGTGTCCCAAACAAGTACATCACATCAACAAAAATATATACTTCGGTCATCACATATTTGGAGAATTAAATTTCCATTTTTTACATAGCTTCTTGTAGAGAGATAATTAATTGGTCAAAATAACAATGTTAAGTTTAATAAGTTAACAACGTGTTCCTACGACTAGTTTTTTTTCTGTATGTGAATTTTATTACTGCCTTCTACTGTTTTTGTAAGTTAACTTAAATATTAATTTGAAACAACAGTTATTAGGTATGCATGTATTAGATGCAGTGTTTCAAGAACAACTTTACGAATTTCAGTACGTACCTTACAAAGTTTACAAATTGTTACTAATACTAAGAGTTTTTCAAAATAATCAACAGAAACAATAATAAAATTGATTCCTCGTAAAAAAATAGTCATAAGAACATGGATTAACTAGTGAAAATGAACTTGTTAACAATGTTGTTTTAATATATCAAAATCATACTTAATTTCATCTATAAATTATCTCTCTATAGGGTGTTTTTTAAAAATGGCATTTTTTTATATTTATATTTATATCAAAATCATACTCTATAGGGTGTTTTTTAAAAATGGCATTTTTTTATATTTATATTTATATCAAAATCATACTTAATTTCATCTATAAATTATCTCTCTATAGGGTGTTTTTTAAAAATGGCATTTTTTTTTTATATTTCAACTATATAACTATTTGCCTTGATGTTTTTTTCTGGTTGGGTAGGAATCCATTTCGGACACCAGCCATATGGTTCTGGCCGTACCTGGTAGTGTGGGACTCCCGGCTGGAGGGTGCAAGGCCGGTATACCCACTAAAACCACCCTTAAAGCATTGTGGGTCTTCTTGGAACTACCTGAGAAGACGCTTTGTTATTTGATGTATTTGGCTCTTCTCATAATGTCGTTCATGTCTTTTCTTTTAGTGAACATAATAATAATGGCTGTGTTATTTACAAGTTCCCATGTTTCCTTCGATTCCATCATTCTACTTACGAGGGTTTCTGGTCTTATCCTCCCTGGAAATATTTCTAGCTACCTTCTTTCGTTTTCCCATCTTTGGCATTCGAAGAACGTATGTTCGGCTGTATCCCGCATACCACAATAGATACAGTCAGCTGTATCACTTAGTCCAAATCTATGTAAATAGGCTCCGTGTTCTGTCAGTATTTGAGTAAGAAAGTAGTTTACTCCGTGTTTCCTAGTCATCCATGGTCTTATATGTGGCACCAATCTCTTAGTCCAGTTTGCTTTTCCGTCGTCTATTACCCACGTCGCTTACCATTTTTGTATGATTTTATTTCGAGCGCTGGTGTTGGGTTCATTACCTTCTTTAATCATAATTCGTTCTTCCACAAGTAGATTTATCGGCGACATCCTCGCAATTAGAAGTAGCGCATTTATCGATGTTGTCCGGTACGCACTAGTTATTCTTATAGCCGTTTTTCGTTGTACTCTCAGTGGGATGTCTCTATAAATTGTCTTCTCAATTGCTATTTTCCATATGCTTGCAGCTTATAGAATTATTGACTGTATCACCGAACATAATATTCTTCTGTTATTTTCCCTTGGTAATCTCAGATTTGGCATTATGCGGCTGATATTTGCTAAAGCTTTCGTGGCCTTTTCAGCAATCATACGGATATGTTGTCCCATTCTCCTTGATGTATGTGATGTCCGAACTATATATTTTTGTTGGTGTGATGTGATTGTACTTGTTTAGGACATATTACGATATACAGGATATATTGTAATATAGCAACACTCACTGAAACAATTTTAATCCATTTATAATCATTATTTTAACGGTTTTTTAAATATGTATTTAAAAAATTGCTCACTCTGTATAATTGTTTTCCAAAAACGTTGGTATTTTATTTTGGTAGTCACAATAGCTATTTATGTATTATTAGTCCTTCTTCTGCCTGCAAAAAATGACATGTCGTGTTTTTTGCTCGAGAAGTGGCCCGCGAGATGCGTACAAGAAGAAAAGAAAATAACTAGGGAGAGATCTAAATACCTGTTGAAAAAGTGAGGTATCAGCTATGGCTATCTTTACTGCATCTATTTCTCGCGGGCCACTTCTTATTAACCGACTTCAAAAAAGGAGGAAGTTATCAATTCGTCGCGATATTTTTTTGGTCTTATTATATGCTTGTTTAAATCAGTATACCTTATAGAGATATTAAAGAATTTATAAAAAAAACCAAAGAACACAAAAAACAACTCGAGAACATTATGAGTTATTGTATCTGTTAGATTTTAAAGAGAACCAACACTGCACAGAAAATAAATTCGATACTATCAATACTAATATTTTTTTGTTGGTATCATCGGCTCCGACAATTCAGACCATTAGCCTCATTTTCTCTGTAGGTTATGGAGTACTAGTACTATAATACTCCATAGTATTATAGTAAGCCATTTTAGGAACAACACTGTTAATTAAAACCCACCAGTGAATAGTCGAGAGGGGAATCCTACCTGTGAATCAGAACTAATTTTTAATTCAATTTTATTATTTAGGAAAAATCATGGCCTACGCTGAATCCTGATATTTTAAAAACAGCACTGGAAAAGTCCTATAATATAATTCATAATATTAATGACAGCTCTGTCACAATTTTGCAACTATATTTGTCTATCTTTAACGATAATCGTTATCTGCCGAATAAGAAAAATCATCTCTAAACGAATTTCGTTAATAAACGTCCTCGTTTCAGAGTTACTGAATAGGCCCCTAAGAGTGAACGTTTAACTTTGCTGCTTGAGATAAAAAGTTGCAGCGGCCAACAAGGGCGGCTACAAACAGAAGATTTGGGAGGGGGCATGCTGATAACAATTTTTATCAAATGTTGGACGCGAAAGAGGTGAGGACCTTTTTTAAGCTCCTCATTTTACAGATTAACACAAGCCAATCTAAAATCGAAACAATAAATTTGCTTTCCTAGCCCTCTGACAACCCCCCCCCCCTGGAGCCTCCCCAGACGGCCAATAGATTTTTTTTAAGACAAATTTTACTTCAATATTTGCACCACCAGCCAAGCTTATATTATGTGCGTGTATGTTGTGTTGTCTACTTACCTGCAAATTGAAATCTGGATAATCTTTTTTTATTAAGGGAAATGGGTTTAATTATTAGATTTTCAACTAAAAAGTGTACATTTTGTTTTAAAATACCGATTAGCTTTAATGACTACTTTTCTAATGAAAAGTGCCAAAAAAACTTTGGTGGGCTATAGTTCCAATAATTTCATATCGAGGAAAATGCCAACTTTCCAGTTAGACTTGAATGTGCAAAAGCCTACTGTGTATAGTGATGTAGAAAAAAATATTAAGACTGTTACTTCGTTTATGTCTTAAAGTATTTTTGTTAATTATGAGAATTCACAAATTTAAAAACTAGTCATAGGAAAACCTGCAACGGATGGACCTAAAAAGTGGAGAAAAAACTTTTGTATTTTCACCTTTGCGAAAAAAATATTCTTTATAAAAGTTTTTGCTTATTTCAAAACTAATAATAATTCAAAAAGAAAATAAGCATTTCTTTGCTTTAGCGAAATAATGAGAAAAAAGTAAAAAACTGTCATTATTTTACTAAAGCAAAGAGATGCTCAACTTCTGTTTGAATTATTATTAGTTTTAAAACGATCGAAAACTTTTATGAAGAATAACATTTTTAAATAATTTGAAAATTTGGAAACAAATCTCAAAAATCCTCTTACGAATTATTAAGACCATCCTCGAACCTCAAATATTCCTGTACAGAAATTTGATGTGCTAGTTCGGGCCAGACGCCGTTTAAGGCTCGTTCTCATATCTTCAAATACCTCTCTGCAGCCAGTACGTATATATGAGAAATGCATTGGTACTAAGCCCATATCTTCGCCTGCATGAGTTAAGTTTTTAATGTATGAAAATTGTGAATTTAATATATCGTAGATCGCAAATCGAAATCCGAAAAGTCAGAAATATCTGAAATAAGTTGTAGAATAATTTGAAAATTCGGAAACAAAACTCAAAAATCCCCTTACCAATTATTAAGACCATCCCTGAACCCCAAATGTGAACGCAAATACTTGGAGATTTACTGTCGATATTGCTAGACAGAAATTTAAAGTGCTAGTTCGGGCCAGACGCCGTTTTAGTCTTTCTCAACAAAGTTTTCTGGGTTCGAATTTCGGCAACGACAGTCTCCAAGTATTTATATTCACTTTCGGGATTCATAAGGGGATTTTTGAGATTTGTTTACGTATTTTAAAATATTTCTACAACTTATTTCAGATATTTCTGAGTGTTCGGATTTCGATTTGTGATCTGCGATAAATTAAACCAACCCACAATTTTTCAATAAAATTTTCTTTAAAATTTAATTCATTCCACCCAGGGACATCCCGTCATCCATATAAAATAATTGAACAAATTTTGCGTACTAAATTGGGCACATCATGTTTTTCAATACTAGTTCTCAATTCCAAGTTTTTTAAGCATTACAATATGACATATTGTTTGTTATATATTTTTTTTCGATAATACAATTTTATGAATAATATACAAATAGGATGCCACTTATTTTTTTAAACCTCATTAGACTTGTTTATTATTTTTTTCCTTAATTTTTGATTTATAATGTAACGATAGTTTAAATTTATTTATTACAATTTGTCTTAACTGCCCAACACTTCATTTGAATATTCTCTTCTATCGGCAAACTCGCGCTATTTATACAAACCCAGCTCTGTACCAGTAGTTTCTAGACGATCTCGAATGTCCGAGAATTCCCTCTCTATGACTCAACGGCCACGTACCGCTTTTTCTGGTAGCTTCTCGAAGCGGTGCGTTTGTCTCTACATGGCCAGCGCTAGACTTTATACCGCGGGCAAGAAGTAAACAATCTTTAAAAATGAACAACTTTTTGATAATATTTTAAAAATCATATTTTGTTATTGAGGATTGTAGAGGACACGAATAATGTCGGTATTATTCATAAACTATAATACTTTTCTTTTTCTCGTTCTTTTTCTGAGCACAAAATAGAACCTAACCGAAAAAATACAAATTATTGAACGATTCTGGTTCGTTTGTCTTAATCATTAGTTACGTACTCTCTTACCATATGCGTCTCAAACTTTATATAAAAAAACTGTAATATCTTACTATTAACATATTTTTTAATTGTAGTCGATATATAATGAACGAATAAACGCAGAACTAGTAATACATTAAAAAAAAAGAATTAAAATTCAATTTACTTCATTTATGTGGAATGTATCTCAAAATTTCAGTACAATAGGAGTATGTACTCCAAAGCAATAATTAAACATCGGGATATTAACGATGATAAATCTTTTAAACTAGAAAATATTTGATGCTGTCACTCCAGCTATTTTAATTACCTTTTTTTTATTTTGTTGATTATAGTTCTACATACTAACAATGGCGTTGTTTTTAATTAATCACAAAGTAAAATTGTTTTTCTGTTTTTATCGTAAATTTATTTAATTTAAAGGAGAACTAAAATAACAATGTATGTAATTAGTTAAGATTTTAGTTAACAACTTATTTTTGAAACCACAATTTTTTTAATAAATTATTGTTAAAATGCAATTCGTTTTGGTTTTCTTTTTCGTCTTTTAATTGTAAGAACAATTTAATAAGATAATTTGGTACATTTTGATTTATTTTCAACATTTAATTTTCTGATTTTTTTTAGCTTGCAAGCACAAGTCATGACGCTAAGAGGCGGCGCAGATTCAAAGCAATACCGACACAATCAGCAGTTAGAGGAGTTAAGAAATCTTCAAGATAAGCTAAGCGGAGAGAAGGCAGCATGGAATGCTTTGAAAGAACAAGAAACTAAAGATCTAGAGGAAAAGAAAGCTGAACTTCTGAGATTGCAGGTAAAAATTATATATTCAAATATTTTATTGGGGGTTTTACATATTATTAAAGACTGTTATAGCATTGATCTTAAATCTAGCAGGAAAAATGAAAAATATCGAGCTGAACATACAGGGTGTTGTGATATTAGACCGACAATACTTTGATTGATTTTCTATTTTTTTAGCGAGCTTTAGAAAAAAAAAGGACAGTTAAATCAAAATATGAAAATAATTACTTGCTAACTTTTGTTTGAAAATAAATCTTTACAACATCGTTCATTTTAGCTCTATTTTAGTACTAGAAATAATCGGGAATTTAATTAAAAATAATTCCTCCAATTGCGTAAAAAATAGCAGATAAAATTGCTACCGCCGCGGTTAAAAATTACTTTTTAAGAAACTAATTGTGCACCAAATTTATTTTTATTTGTTTTTCATTCTATAATTTTAAAAGCATGTATATCAGATTCTAAGCACTTAATGGATTCATATCGCAACATACTGAAAGATGTATATTATCATAAAGACTTGAATGATTTATAATAAAATTGTACATTTTTATATTCATTATATTTTCAAAAATATCAGTCATATTTCACAAAAAAAATATTCTGCCAATGAATTCAAAATAGATTCGTTGGTAAGTGGTTATCTGAAAATAGAACTAGTTAAATCTACGAACAAAAATATAAAAAATAAATTGGCCTAAGAACTTTTTTAAGAAGAGAAATTGTTTTACCCATGCTGTAACTTCTAAACCATGCAAGATAATTGAACCGGACAAAAGTCATCCATTATAGTTGGCGGTTTACTTTAAAACAAATAAAAATTTAATGACCCACCCTCAAAAACTACCCCCCTGGAACAACCCCCTCAAATATTATTACCGACACCCTAATTTTTTTCTGCTCATTTTTGTAGTCGCTACTTTTCTCTGTACAATTGTTTTTAAAATTTTGAAATCGCTCCATAAATAAGTGAGATTCGTTTTTCTTTTTTTCATTTCAACAAGTTGCTTGCTGTCAAATTCATGGTAAGTTTTCTAGCGCATTATAAACAATACTATATCAATCTGTCTCTTGTCAAACAGAAGTGCAGCTTAAAAACTCGATAAAGTTAGCAGTTTTTATTTGATAAAGTTTGCAATAATTTAGTTTGTCAAGTCCTAACAAATTATTTCAAAATGCCTAATCTGTTTAGTTCCAACGAGTACACCGATATAATAATTATTTACGGCGAATGTCGCAAGAATTCAAGACAAGCTAGACAATTATACTATGAACATTTTCCGAATAGAACTATTCCCTCAGTTAGAACGTTTTCCAATTTAGAAAGAAGTCTTAGACAAGGACATTTTCCTGACGGTAAACATCAGAATGATCAGAAATGAAGAAAATATTGTACACGTTTTTGGCTTACGTTCATGTAAATCCATATGTTTCTATCAGAGATTTGGCACTCGAAATTGGAATAAGCAAAAGTAGCATCCAAAGAATATTAAAAGACAATAAATATCATCCTTATAAAATACACTTGGTCCAAGGTTTACTGCCTAATGATTTTGAAAGACGCTTACAGCCGTATGCATAGTCGATCGCCAGCGACTCGCCAGAGATTCATTTCGGCGCATCGCCAGCGATCCGCCGGCGAAAGCCCAAAAAGGTGGCGACTCGTTGGAGATTGTCACCGGCATGTCATTTCATGCAAGTTTTCAAGTTCTTTTTAAGGGAAAAATTTGATATTCGTTCATTGTTTTTTGAGTTTTAAGAAATGAATCAATAATAAAATGCGAGAGATGCCGGTGATAATCCCTATAAAAGAACATGAAAACTTGCGAGAAATGACATGCTGGTGACAATCGCCAGCGGGTCGCCACCTTTTCGGGCTTTCGCCAGCGGATCGCCAGCGATTCGCTGGCGATCCGCCGGAATGAATCTCCGGCGAATCGCTAGCGATCGACTATGCATACGGGTGTTAGACTTTCTCGCTAGAATGCAGGTGAAACTAAATGACGATGCCACATTCTTAGATAAAATATTATGGAGCGACGAATCACGTTTCCATAATAATGGTGTATTAAATCGTCATAATTCCAATTACTGGTCCCCAACAAACCCCCACTGGGTAAGAGAAACAATGTTTCAAAATATTTGTGGCATAAACGTATGGTGTGGTTTGTTCAATGGTAGGATTATAGGTCCTCATTTTTATGAAAATACTCTAACGGGAATAGGATATCGTGATTTTTTAATCAATACCGTTCTTGATTTGTTGGAAGGTGTTCCTCTTAATCAAAGACGTGATAGTTGGTGGCAGCATGATGGTGCACCAGCTCGTAATGCACAAATTGTGAGCCAATATTTGGCAAACACTTATGGAAACCATGTTATATCCACGCATTCTCCAATTATCCAGTGGCCGGCTAGGTCACCTGATTTGTCGCCTCTAGATTTTTTTTCTGCTTGTAACAGATTTACACCGGCCATGATTCGAGCTGCCTGTACTAGAAATGTATTGTTGAGGTTTGACAAATGTGTGGAAGTGGGAGGTGGGCAATTTGAGCACTTATTATAAGTTATTACTACTCTTTGTTTGTTGATATTTATTTCTTGTCTTCTCCTTCTCTTGTTTCAATGTATTTTTTTAATTATATGTCAACTAATAAAGTATTTTTTATCATTAACTTGACATTTTTATTTAATTTCTCACTTATTTATGGAGCGAGAACAGAGAACAGAGAAAAGTAGCCACTACAAAAATGAGTAGAAAAAAAATTAGGGTGTAATAATTTTTTAGGGAGTTGTTCCAGGGGGGAAGTTTTTGAGGGTGGGTCGTCAAATTTTTATTTGTTTCAAAGTACACCGCAAATTATAATGGATGACTTTTTTCCGGTTCGATTATCTTGCATGGTTTAGAAGTTATAGCCTGGGTAAAACAATTTGGGACACCCTGTATATGATGTTAATGACTGCTTCAGAATTTATAAATATATTTTTTCGATTAACAAATTTAAGGACCATTCTTGTGATACATCCGCTAACTAATAAAAGATTATGCTAGCCTAGCCATAATAATTAAATAAGAGTTTGCATTGTGCATAACAATTAAAGCATTGCCCCTGGGCAGGTGTTTCGAGTTTTGTTGACCTTGTTTTATCATCATATTAGGAGTGGTTGGTCACTCAAGAATTGCAAATCAATTATAATACGGTATTTTTTCCAGAGAAACTGGTTAATTATTTAATTCTTATGTGAGTAACTTTCATGATAAATTATTCATGTGATTGTTATTATTTAGATATAGTGTTAATTAGCTATTTATTCATATTTCCTGAGCGACGTTAAGACTAGTATTAATATGAAATATATATTGCATAAATCAACTGAAATTGAAATTAATAGTAATGTTTTTATAATTATTATGTGAGAAAGAACATTCAGAGATTTGACAATTTTATTTTGAAATATAAAAGAAATCCCTATAATTTAAAGATTTTTCAAAATTTTATTTTATACAGGGTAATTCTTTTGTCATGTATGCAGTTGTCTGAAATAACATTTATGCGCCTCATTCCCATACCCACCATTCAAAAAACAATATTTTTAATGAAATTATTTGAGCTGCTGGTTACAAAATTTCTTTCATGGCATTGTAAAAATATAATTATAAATGAACATCATGGTTTTACACCTGGCAAATCTATTAATATATCAGAATGATATCATTAACTCATTTGAACTAGGTAACTAAGTAGACACTTCAGTAAAGCATTTGACAGGGTAAACCATGCTCTTCTAATTCACAAATTAAAATTGATGGATTTTCCAATCTGGTTATCCAGCTATCTTAGTGGGAGAACACAGTTAGTGAAAATTAAAAATCACACTTCAAATTCAGTCATAGGTTCAATTTTCGAGTACTGCAAATTTTTACAGTTCACTGATGACTTGAAAATGTACTTGAGAGTTACTTCCTAGGAGGACTGTTACAAATTGGAAAGCGACATTTTAGCACATACCAATTAGTTTGTTGCTAACGGTATATCTCTGAACACTGATAAATCTTACTCAATTATTTTTATTAGAAATAAAACTCCCATCGTTTATTATTCACTTAATAATGTACCCATGAACAGACTTGTTACCATCAAGGATCTGCAATGTCTAAGACGGAGGATTTATCAATTAAAGCTATTTTAGTGGTTTATAATGCTTTGGTATGTTCGTTACTGCAATATGTCTCTATAGTCTGGACGCCTTATTACGCAGTTGATATCTCAGCAATTGAACGAATACAACACATTTTTTTGAGATATGCAGCGTATAAAATGCACTTACAGTTTGGCAATTACAGTTATGAGGAAGTTTTGAATACACTTAACATTATAAAACCGTAGAATATTTATGGAAATTACTTTGTTATTCAAACTGTTGTCAGGAGATATTTGTTGCGAATAACTTCAGTACCTTTCTCACTTAGGATGCAGAATAGGACCACTCGTAACCACAGTTTGTTGGCTGTTCCATTTCATTATACAAATTATGGATATCACACTCCTGTCTATCGCTTATCAAGAACAGCCAATATGCTAGGTGAACAGGGCATTGATTTTATCAGTCTTTCCCTGAGCTCCTTTTAAGCTAAGTTGAGGTCAAAGCTTTGAAAACATGATATGTGATTTGTATCTGTGTAGGTTAAATACCACCGTATTATTTTACTATAAAGGGGTTTTCCTGTTAAATAAATGAATAAAATGTATTAATTTTACATAAAAACCAACTGATGGAAACTATTTCTAAATTATAAAATAATAAAAAATAGACTTTTAATTGAAAAATAAATAAAAAATTGAATTCATATAAAGTTAAAATATTTTTTATCTAAACTAAACGAAAAAATAATAAATGATCAAAAATAAATAACAACTACTAAACATCAATAACAATATGGTAATATTTCAAAAATTAGTTAAAAAATTAAAACCTAAAATTATTTCAGAAAAGAAAATAATTGCAATTCTCAAATGTGACTATATTTAAAAATAAACCATAATGGAAAAGAGAAAAACTCAAAATCCGTGCTACAGAAACAACGAGCGATCATTTTCCTCCTGAAAACAACTACTTCTTTGGCTAATACCGCAACAGGCATTGTATTATATCAAAAAGTGAAAAGCCGAAAATATTTTTCAACAATCTAACTTTGATTTTGCTTCCTAAGGAGAAAGTCATTATTTGATCGGTTTTGTCCTTCTTCAGCAATAAATAGACAATCTCGACTCCAGTCTTTAATGGAGTCTGATGACAATACAAAATTCGATTGTACACATTAGCAGCAGTTGAGAGTGTGTAGTTTTCAACGAGCAAAAATGGTGCAAATGGTGTTACCATTTTTGCTCGTTGAATATCTACACAGCCTCAACTGCTGCTAATGTGTACGAACGAATTTTGTATTGCCATCATTGAGATTTTTGAGATTGCTAAAGAGTCCTAATAAGGACGAAACCGGCCCAAGAATGACTTTCTCCTTAGGAATCAAAGAGTGTTGAAAATGTTTTTCTATCTCTGCTATTCAACTTTTGATACAATATTATTCCGGTTTAGGTATTAGCCAAAAGAGTAGTTGTTTTCAGCAGGGAAAATGGTCGCTCGATGTTTATGTGACACGGAGTTTGAGTTTTTCTCTTTTCCTTTATTATTTATTTTAAAAATTATTTTGTCTAGCCTTTATGTTAGATAAAATTTAATTAGGACTGTGGGCCATGTGGCCTCCCACACCTTGACCTTTTGAGATATATTGTGGATATACTTTAATCGTTTAGAGTTTGTCTAATTCGGTCTTTTGTAGAAGACTTCATAGACTAGGAAGTAGTTCTCCGCCCTTGGGTTTTCTTCTACAAGTGTAAGGAATCTCAGTCTTGCTAGACCTTCGCAGTAGCACAATACGTGTTCTGCAGTTTCTTCCTCTTCCTGGCAGAATCGGCACAAGGTCCCTTCTGTCAGAACGATATTATACATATGTTTGTTAAGCCTATAATGCCCTGTTAATAGACCTACTATTACTCTAGTATTTTTCCTCTTAAGGCTTAGTAGATGCTCGGTGAGTTTAGGCGATGGTCCTTTTAAGAACTTTTTGGCCTGTGTCTGTCCTGGTGAATTTTTACACCATTCCTGAGATTTTTTAAACATCCACTGCTTTGTGGATTTTCTGATAATTGTCTTTGTGATACCACAGAAGGGTTCTGGGCCAATAAGAGCCTTTGTGGCTCCTTCTTGGGCTAGTAAATCAGCCTCTTTGTTGCCCTTATGTCCTCTATAATAGCTTGGTACCCAGGCTAAGATTAGTCTGTTTTCACTATCCGGTTCTGTTAGGGCTTCCAAACAGTCCCACACAAGCTTTGAGTATACCTGCATAGAACTGAGTGCTTTTAACGTCGCTTGACTATGTTAGTATATGACGATGGTTTTTCCATTTACCTTCTGTCTTAATATCTCTTTTGCGCATTGATGTATTACTATTTCTGCCTCGAATACTGTCGAATGTTTACCTAAGCTCAGTGAGATTATTGTCTTTGGCTTGGTACTATATAGACCTACTCCTGAACCTTCATGGGTTTTGGAGCGGTCTGTATACCAGGTGAATTCTGCATGAATAGGAGGGCCTCCCGTCCACGTTTCCCTGTCTGATATACTTACTTTAAAGCTATATTTTTGGAGCATTTCGTCTGAAGGCATTCCCATTATTTGATCGTTCTCCAACTCTATATAGCTCGCTGTAGTCGCGTCCATAAAAACTGCTTATGTGTGATGGACCTTTGTGCAGTCACTATGTGACTTTCAGAGCTGCTGTTAGAGTCGTTCTCATGGCTCCCTTGGTACTCAGGCATGATTGCCTTTGAATGGCTCCAGCTTGCCAAGTCTTTGGCCACCATACCACCGACCCGTAGGTAATCATCGGTCTTCTGGCTCTATATAGACAGAGACATTTTCGGTTGTAGTTCCCAATTATTCCACATAACCTTCGACATAGGTTAAAGGATGTTGTGCTCTTTTGGGTGACTTTTTGCAAGTGTTGATTTCATGTTAACCTGTGGTCAAAGATGACTCCCAAGTGTTTGGCCTCTTGAGCAAATGGAATCTTCACTTTTTTTTAGTACTGGTGACTTTAGCCTTGTCAACACTTTTGTGAAGTTGACTATTGTCATTTTGTGAGGATTTACTGTTAGTTCCTCCTCTCTGCACCACTCGCCAACAATGTTTAGAGCGGTTTGTGTGCGCTCCGATATTGTATCAGCGAACTTGCCTCTTACGACGATCGCCAGGTCATTGGCATACCCTAGGCAGTAGAAGTATGCAGATATTAGCCTTTTTATGAGTTCCTCCATTATGACTGACCAGAGGAGGGGTGATAATACTCCTCTCTGGGGTCAACCCTTGCCTGTTTTAAGCGTCAGTGTAGCTTCGCATCGAGATAATGATATTATCATTTCTTCTAGGCTGGCTTTTATCCACTGACACAGGAGTACTGGTACCCCTTTTATTGCTAGTGCGTTAATTAATTTTAGATCTTGTTTGGGCATTATTAAAAGCTCCTCAATATCTATGAAAGTTGCTACTACCATTTCTTTATCCTCCAGTGATTTTGACAATAGCCTGTTGAGATCATTCAAGGCCACATCGGTTGACTTTCCTGGCTGATATGCATATTGACGGTCGCTGAGGGAATTTCCTCTCAGTATTTCGCCTCGTATATATCTGTTAGTCTTTCTAGCGTTTTCAGCATGAATGACGATAGACTGATAGACTTTGATGTCATATCATTAAATCTTCCTACTTTAGGAAGGTATATGCTATAAATATGCGACACATATGTGAAATTAAAGTTTCCTGTCCCTTTTGTAGTTGAATCGGATATATTCCATCTACTCTTGAGGATTTGTATGGTTGAAATTTGTTTGTAGCCCATCTAATTTTGTTCGACCTCTATATTTCTGTAGCCATTCTCCATTCCAAAGGAATTGGCCTACGAGACCTTCTTTGAGTTACTTTTCTGTAAAATCGATAAATAATAGCATTTTTGTTTTTATTTGGTCCATATTTTGAAAGAAAAAAAAAATAAATTTTAATCACACTATATGAAACTATTTCAATCACGAGTGTTAAAACAAAAATCCTAAAAGTGGCCGCAGACGCGAAGACAGAGCGCTTGCCTTCCACAGGATAAGCCGGGGTTCGAATCTGGGCTGAGGACTAATTAAATGAAATCTTTTTTACCTTTTTCATTTATTTTATTTTATAAATTAGTAAAATTCATAAATTATTTTAAAATTAGTTATTTTGTCTTAATAACCTAAAATATTTTTTTAAGTTTGTAAATTTTCGTTAGTGGGTCGTAGAAAAAATATACTGTACAACTTGAGTGGATTGTTTATATCCCACTTCGTTTTCGTGCGATATGGCCATCATATCCACTCTTTGTTGCACAAACTACTATTAAAGTCCAACGAAAAGCTAAAAAAGTACTTTCTTAAATTATAGGAGAAAGTTAAAAATGTTTAATCTTTGACAATATAAAAAAATGGGAAGGAAATCAAGATTTTGATGAAAACTACTTAAAAGCATCAATTATTTCAGTTGAATCTAGAATTTCAGATATTTCGGATTCAACTGAGATGATGTCTGTCATAGTATTTATTAAGCAATTCTTTATTATTATTTGCTTGCTGATGCTTCTTTCACATGACGCCACACAGAGTTAGGTAATGTTAAAAAATTCAAGGATAAAAATTAAGAAGGCAAGATTTTAAAGTATTTTCTACCGTCTTTGATGGTGATATTTTTGTTATTATGTTTATTAAAATGCGAACTTAGAACTTTAAAGAAGAAAAGATAAAAAGTAGTCTATTTTAGATTTTATTTAATAATTTTATCATTTAATTATCTAATTTATTTAAGGAACAAATTCGTGCCGAACAAGACGACATCACTCAGCAGAGAGAACAGTTGTTTAGAAAAATGGAAATGCTTACTAACAAAGGTTTATTAGTTAATGTTCCAATAACTGGGAGTATCGCTGATGATAGCAGTAAAGATACTTCGGAAGACAGCAGTCCACAATCTGATTCTTCTTCTGCTACAAGTGCAGTAAGTTCCGGTGCTTCGGGATGTGGTAGCAGTTTGACTCATTCATCATCTTCGGTTGATAGAAGAAAAGATTCCAAATGGGGAAAAGGTTAATTAAAATTAAATTCTTAATCCCTTTTCGAAAAAGTGTATTCAAATTGAACTATTATGATTTTTATTTAAATAGTTCTTAATTTGGCCTGATTTTTTTAGGTAATGCACAAGTAAAGCAGCAACTTCCTCTTAATTTGATATCTGCTACAAATCAACAAAAAGTATCCCAAAATGTTCACATCAAACAGCAAATTCCTTTTAAATTGGCATCGAAATTGAGCGGCGAAGTTTCCAAAACTGGCATGGGCGGAGTTCAACAGATGTTACCTTTAAAGTTAAGCCAGGATGAAAAAGTAAGAAGAACCAGCACTTCCGGTTATCAGCGACTGGGTTCTGATAATAGTTTTAGTCCTCCGTCAGGAGATACGGTAAGTAAAAGTTATGACCGTGGTGTTGATAGAATTCGATTACAACAAGATGATTTTTATTTTATAGATTTTCCTAAATGGTATCAGCCTCAAATAAATCTAATTTGTATTTTCCATAAAGTCAAGGTATCTTAATAACTATTTTTATTTTATTACTCTTTTGGATCGAAACCCTTTAGAATATTTAATTTCTGTTATGACTATTTACTAATTACTTCTCTATGCACTTGTTTAATTCAAGGAAACTACCCATTATTTTGACAGCGGTTTCCTGAATATTTGTAATCTGACACAATGCACGATATTTCAGATATTTTGTTACTTTTATATTACAATTTCTAGTTTAATTGAAAACATTCTAACGCTCACAAGGTGGTGATAATTATGAGAGTATACTCTAAATGTCCCTATTACTAGTGAATGTATACATTTACTAAAGCAGTTTAGTGAAATACCAAAAGCAGAAATATTACATTGTATTCCTTTATAGGGTGCGCCTTTCAAAAGTAGCCTGAGTAGGCGCCTCTGACATCCACACAAATACACAATCATGTTATCCAGTTCTCACCCGTTTAAAATTATTGAGATTTTATACTTAATATAATAATTAATAATTAATTAAACAGAATTAAAATATATAAAAATAAAACAATTAAAATAGGCATTTTATGATACCCTCATTGTTTAGATTAAGAATCGATCAATATTGAAAAATACATTACTGTGAAGAAAGTTAATAATTTTATTTTTTATGCCGTTCCTTGGGCCAACTAAATGAATAAAAACTTTCATTTTATTAAAGCACTTAATCTTTATATAATTGGGAGAATTCTGGCTCACTCTCAGTCTCGAGAAGGGTACACTAATCTCGTCATTATGGCGGGTATTATATGTGTGAATTTCATTTTTTAAGATGAATCGGCTCTTATCGTATATATACACTGTTAGAATATCACATTTTTTTAAAAAGATTTCAGCAGCTTTCTAATGGATGAGCTCTATTCATACATCTTATAATTTTTTCTGCATGATTTATGCTCTATCTATGTGTGCGGAGGAACAACACATCAACAAACCATATTGTAACTGAGATTGTACCAGTCCAAAATTTAAGATTCACAAGATTTGGACGGAAACTTTATTCCTCAAAATGAAGCAAGCAATACTGCTCTGCTTTGAGCATAGTATATTGATATGAAGTTCCCATGTTAGTTTATGATTGAGAGTTACACCTAAAAATTTCATTGATTGAGCCACTTTCTATTGATTTTTCAGAGTTTAATTAGGAAATCTTCATCAGGAGTAATATTTTTCGGTAGAAACCTCATGTATAAGGTTTTTCGCAATTGACCGTTTTCCTTACAATATTTTTCAAATTTCATTGTGACGTTATTTCCATTTTCTACTAAGGTACTGACACATTTCTCAGATATATTTGCACAATCCGCAAAAAAACAGTTTTATCTGATGTTGTAATGTCGATTATAAAAACTATAGAAAATATTGGCCTACGTAACGTGCCTTGTGGAATGCCTAATGCATTACTCTGATATTCAGATGTAGCCCCATAAATAGCTGTTGTTTGACGTCGATCCGCTAAATATGATAGTGTATTCATACAAGTATTGGAGATTTTATTTCACTAATTTAAAAATAATATATTTTAAATGTCGTCCATGTTCGGCTTCTTTTTATCGCATGTTCTATGAAACCTATCAGTGTAATTTCTTGCAGTGTCCTAATTTCTGCGCGAATATTTTCCATTGGTTGTTGAATTCCGATTATACGCCATTATAATCATTGTCATCTTCAAATCAAAACCACAAACTGTAAATTTACATGGGTGCAATTCATGGTGGCCTTGGGTTCTTCTTCAACACTTTGGCGTACACATTCAATATTTGCCTCCGTCCTAGCTCAATGTGGCCACCTTACACCTGGAAGGTCACTTACGAAACCCTGTTGACGGAATCAATCAACTAAGTTTCGAATCAATCTTTCGGAGGGAACAACTCTAACGTTAAAATATCTACACTATGATTGTTGCGTTTTAATAATTAAATGGGGTTTTTAAAATATAACTCCATGACTTTGGTGCGCTGTAGAGTTGTGAACTTTTCCATGATAAATTTCCAGATGGTTTACTATAATTTCTGTAAAAAAGAAACAAAAAATATTAATAAGCAAAAATCTTGTTGTGACTTATGAGCCACCCAGTATTAAGCATGATAATCTAGAAATTTATTTAAAATTTCTTGTACAAGGATACAATTTCTTCATAAACATTTTTAATTTTTCCAATTTATGTTGCACAATTTTCCATATGTAACACCTTTATTACACTTCATAAGATGATTTAGAGTTGCCATTTTATTTTAATCGCATTTGATAACATTACTTACAATACATTTTAAACTTTCAAGGTGTTAGATTTATTTATGATAAATCCTATTTCTTTTTTCTAATAAATATATAGAGAGTAGTTTAACTATATTTGACTCATATTAATTCATAGTACTCACTCTGTCACCTTAGTCCTTTGTACAAGTTGGTTGATTAGGTCATTTATCTAAGTTTTTAATAAAAAAAAAATACATTGCATTATTCAAAATTTTAATGAGCTTACAAGTTCGCCTAGATTGTTACTAAAACAATGTCAAAGAAACAGTAAGATATTCGATGGCATAACTTTCTAGTTCTTAAAATATACTTGTTTAAGCAACGCGACTTCAAAAGTTACAAAAAATAAATTACCAAAAAATAAAAAAAAAATGTTTGATACATACAATTGTTCTATTTAAGAGTTTTCTGTTTTGTTTTACCTTTTTAATTACTGAATGAATTAAAATATATTTACAGTACACCTTTTTGTAATGCATATCCTGTACTACATCAAATGTTTTCTTTAATAATTTTGAAAATATTTCGGCCGTTATTTATCCCATAGTAAAATAGGTGGATAAAATAAAAATTAATACTAATAAGGCCGACACGACAAAATTTTATTAAGGGCATATCTCAAGAATTGTTTATCTGGACAATTTCGGATTTGTTTTTACAAAATCGTCAAAGGGAAATGCTTAAAAATATTTTTAACTTTGTAACTTTCCGATATGCTGTGTGATATAATACAGTGTCGGCCACTGAACGTTTTCCAATACGCTTTGCACAAGTGCATATGAAAACTATAGAAAGTTAGCGTTAATGAGAACAGAAAATGAATAATTTCAGCGATGCCGGTTTATATGACTTGACCACGTTGTAACGTTGGGGACAAAACACAGGCAAGGTGATTTATCTACTGTTTATATGATTGAAGGCGTGTTCCAATATCTGTCGCAAATAAAAATAAAAATTATTTCAGACTCCCACAAGTATACCGCACGTTCACAGCCGAACGGGTTCTAGTCCGGCGATGATGCAGGCCTCGCCGCCTAATTCAGCACCCTCGAGTCAGTGTCACAGTCCAGGGAGTGCTAAAGCAACTCGAACGCACACTTACCCCAAACTGCCGGATAAGTTCAAAGTCAGGAACGACCAACAGCCACCCACCGATGAGGAAGTGATATATTTCTGACGACTCTCCAGTAGGACGAGACATTTTATTTGTTCCCTTATTAATACGAAGGTATAGGATGTTTTGTGGTTTTTATTTTATTGTAAAATGATGACGGGGTAATGTATCTTGAATCAGGAGGTTATTAAAATATATTAACAAGTTTTTGCTTTTTTAATTTTATTTAATCACGCAAAACTTGTTTGGAAATATATTTTATAGTTAGGAGTACTGAGATATTTAATTTATTTTGGTATTTTATTATCTAATAGACGATTTATGTTCAGCGCTAACAAATAGAAAAATGCGATTATAGTTAAAAAATTGCTTAAACAAATAAATACGTTAGTCGTTAGATGATAGGTAAATTTAGTTGTCTAATTGAATATATTTTTCTAAATATCAGAAATAATTTAGATCATTTAAAAATTCATAAATACTTATAAAACATAAAATTTTAGATGTATTATTTTTTTTTTCGTCAAATAATATTTTAAATAATACACTGCTCAAAATATTTAGTGTAATCTTTTGTATCTGAATAAATTTTAAATGTTACCGGTATGCAACTCTAAAACGTGTTACATAGAAACATATTTTATTACAATAAATTCGCAAAAACTAAACTTAAAGCACTTTTAATTCTAAGAAACTACAAGAAACAAAGATAGAGAGTAAGCGTCCTATATGCAAATATTAAACTTTAGAGTGAAAATGTGGGTTACTAATAATAATGTCTCTGCCACTAGCACGAATCACCGCTTGTTACTTCCAAGACATGCTTCACACAAGTTTTCTTCCTGTTGTATAATCTCTTGCTCTTCGATTAAAGCATATGTTAGCTGCTGGAGATACTGAGGTAGTTTTGAGCGCTTTCAAACACGTCTGGCTGAAAAATTCCCAATTGGGGAGGCTAGCCCATTGATTGAATTGCATGGTGTTGATTTGACGCAGGTGTAACTGTTGGATCGACGTTTCATGGTGTTTAGTGTACATGAAACTTCCACAATACGAGTTCTTTCGTTGGGACTAATTCCGCGTAAATCCATAAAAAACTAAGCTATACAAAAGTAGTGGTCTCAAACGTTGAAGTTGCCATGATCTAAAACAAAATGTTCATAACAATTTATGTGGTAGTACGGGTTTATTTAAAACAGTTTGGCTTCTCTCACGCTATATTGCAAAATTGTATGTCAAGCATTGATGCTCTGTTAACTTTTATTATGATCTGATTGATTAATATGAACATTCATTACTAATAAACGTCTCTCAAAGTTTAACAGACTCAAAGCTTAAAAAACGGTCTTTAAAAAATTTAGATTATGAAATTAACTTTGGTATTTAAGTTTCTTAAAATGGTTAGTCTGACTTTAAAGAGTCTTTTATATATGGATCATTATTTGTAATACCGGTAGTATTTAAAAAGATGTTCAGATACAAACAAGAGTTCATATGATGTTTTATTGAGGTACATTCCATTTCAATTTGACAAAGAATCTTTTGATATAAGATATTTTACTCCTATGACTTGTAACTTTTTTATTTTATTTATTAGTATTTATTTAGCGTTAGGTTGTAATAGGTGATTTTAAAACAGATCTGACATTATTTTCGAATATTTCTCAACTAATTCTATATAGTATAGTGATTAGTGTCTCAATTTTCATAGAATGTTTAAAACGTACTTGCGTTTTGTCTTCCTTGTTTTGTTCGAATCAGTATTTTTTGAATATACTCAAATCTTGTGACAATACGATATTCTAGTATATTATTTCGAGTCTTAAATTAGAAATTAGAATCTTTTACAGTTTACTGATATCGTAAATAGTACAGATCGCATGAAAAGAAAGTGACCGATTTATGTTATCTAAAATCTTATTAATATGTGATATATATTTGTGATATTTTTTAAAAGTTCGTTCCATCTGTTGCTAATATGAAAACCTACTTAACCAATATTTAATTCAATTTTTTACTAGTATGTATGTTATTTAAAAATTTATCGATAATGATTCAATTACATTTTTAAATCTAAAATTGAAAGTATCAAGCTAAATATAAACGATTTTAGAGTTTTTTTTTGTGAAAAATTTATTCTCAAAATATTTCAGTATCTTTGTTTGATAGCATAATGAAACTCTTGTAGAATCTGTAAAAGTACTTAAAATGATTTATATAATTTTCTTACACATATTTTAAGAAAATGGGGTAATAAATAGTTTTTTAATTCTGTGTGGACTCTTTTAAGATTTTTTTTAAGCTAAATATATCTAAGTGGAAAAGGGAATGAAATATAATGTTGTTCCTTTCAGTTCGAGATTTATAGTTTTAATGTTACAAAAACATACCGAATTTTTAAATAATTTTGGAAAGAAGTCATTAAAATTCGCTGAGATGCATTGGTGTTAGGAAATCTATACCATTATTATTTAACAAATAATAAAAAAAGATAAAAACATTTTTATTCTCAAGCGAAGAAAATTACTTAAAACGTACTTTTTAGTAATATAGGTTACTTAAATTTCTTAGAATTCAAAATATTAGCTGTTATAATGGTCCTTTCTTTTCATTCTTGATTATTTATATACCATTGTTAATAATTGTTATAGATATTAGAACAATTCCCTATACAAAATTGGAAATAATTCAGAATGAAAGAAATTTTGTAAACACTGTCTGCTTCAATGATATATCGAATATCAAAATAATTTTTGGTCACGATTTTTGTCAAAAATATATAAAAATTTGACTTGAATAAGAATGCGTATTTCTCTTGTTGCAAATGAAATATTGTTTCAATTCAATTAAGTGTTGCATATGCCATTAAAATTTTATGATCTAAAAAATCGGCAGAAATTAAGATTGACTTTTCATGATAGTATATATTTCAAGAAAAAAGCAATAAAATAATATGTAGATGGAATTATGACAAATTTTTCTGTCTGTTATTTGCAATTTTGTCGTAAAAAATTATATATTATAAAAAAAGGCCTACCGTATTTTGTCTCTTCTTGTGAGTGTCTCGTAGTTTTAAAGGGAATATTTTTATAAATCTATTTATCCTTCCAACGTTTACTGAATCTCATCAAGTTGTGGTTTAAGTGTAAGAATATTATTTTTGTCATCATGAGACCGTGATATACATAGTGAGGATAAGAGTTATTTACTATAGTTATTCTGCTCAGCAATATTAAGTAGTGGCATGTATTAACGTTAATGAAAACACTATTTGTTTTATTTGCTTTGTCATCTCTGTTTAACGTTTTTAATAAATAATGAGTGCTTATATATAGTCATGCCTCATTTAAAAAAGAGGGGATACGTTCCATTAAATTTTCAAAGTAAAACTTTCAGAATTAAAAGTACTATTGCCTCAATAATGATAATTTTTTCTACATAAAGATTTTATTACAAACAATTTGATATGATATTAAATAAAAAGTTAACATAAAAAATTTCAATACAATATAAAATAATTATTTAAATTAACTATGAACCCCTGGTTGTCGGATTTCACTGTCTTAAATATGGCTTATTCTAAGTTCAAATTACTTAATTTTCTTGGATATTATTTTGGCATAAAATTCCTTATAAATTTACATGTCCAACGATAGCAACAAATTAGCCAATTATAAATATGCAGGGGGTCCCATCAGTGTGTATATGATCGATAGATGTTTTTTTATTGGAGATACGAATAAAGGAACATGATGACAGAGATAACAAAGCATTTTCTTACAGTAATTTGCAATAGTATTTATTTCAAAACATTATACAAATATAATTGATTTTTTAAATAGTTATTTTTTTCTTTTTAAATTTTCTTTGTAGTTCAATGATTATTTCAGGGTTTTTACTTTCTTTTTAATGATTAATATACAATAAATTTAGCCAATAAATATAAAATAAACTTTAAAACATTTAGCAAATAAAAACAAAAATTGTATGGAATTTACTAACAAATTATTAAACTATGAATAAAAAAAACAACATAACGTTGATACTTTATTCTGAATGCCACTATCTGTTTTTAATTCGTTTGTAGACATACAGTACAATAATAATATTAATAATAAAAAAATCACAATCTTTTAGGAAATAAATATTTCTGCTGACTAGAATATTCCAGGATGCTTAAACCATTCGCTGCTTGTTTTATTTTAGAAAGAGTTTGTGTTATGAAATAAAAAAGAAAAATAAAAAAATTATTCGTATGGAAAATTGTTATTTGTATTTTTTTTTTCACTTAATAATGTTTTTTATTGTTAACCACGATTATATTTTGTGACTTTTTATAGATTTTTGGTACCTTTGATAAAATTACTTAAATTGTTTTTTATTTCTTTGTTTAATCACTGACGCAGGTGCTGAATGATATTCCGCTTTTACTTAAGATGAAAATCTACCTTTGCAATTGGCTCTATCTAATCAATACAAAACATCACTTAAGATTTTTATTTTTAATTTTTCCGAAAGAATGAAATATGTACCTTGTTGTAAATCTATAAAGACGTGTTCCTCCAGATCATTTTTGAAAAAATCTCAATCGAGGGTACCGTAGAGTAGACCTGTGTAAATATTTTTATCTCATTAAAAAATATTAATCAGAATCTAAAATTAAATTTTAATCTTGTAAAATTGCAACTGGAAACTTATAGAATACTATTAAAATGTTTGCAGAATATCCCATTGGAGTGAAAGTTGAAGAAATATGTATTTAAGTTTACATTTTTTTTTAAGTATTAAAAATCAAAGCCGATACGACCCTATATTTTCGCATTTAGAATGATTTTTTATGTATATAACTAAAAACTAACTAGAACAAAGTGGTTCAAGGCATGTTCGTCATTAAATCTCGTTTTCTAAATTATTTTCTCTTTTGAAAAACACAATCTGCTTTCCAAAATGAATCAAACAGTTTTAAAACTTATAGTTTTTTTGTAATAAGTAGACAGTGACTGATAACATGTTATAAAATATTCGATTAGAACAATGCAATCTTGCCTTGAAATTTTTTCCAGACATTTTTAATGTCAGGAAGTGTATGGAAAATCTAGTTGTTGTTAACAAAAATAAGAATTCTATTTATTGAACCTATTGTAAATAAATGATTATATCTGAAAAAACTTGTTTAATTTTATATTAATAGTTTTTAAATCTTCTCTTAGCGTTACACTTAATTAAACAGAAATTATTCCATAAAATACGATAAAACTGTTAACTTAGTATTATACAATTATTATAATGTAACATTCCAGTTTTCTCATCAGATTGTACCTAATTTTTTATTTCAACGAAAATTCGGATATGCCAAATTTGGAAAATAAAAACAAATTTATTTTTATTAATATTTTTTTTAACTAACTTGTATTCATGTATATAAGACACATATTTATTGTAAATATATTTGATTAAAGTGTAACAGGCAATTTTATTTCCAAAATTCTGAAAATTGTTTTTGAAGTGAAAACTTTTTTCGAAAGGGTAAAATCTTCCCAGCTTGCGACACCGACATGCTAATGTTAATTATTAACAGTTAATAGTATATTTATAGCTATAAGTATGACGTATGCGCTTGGCCAGCAGTATACATGATGCACGAATACATTTGAGGCAAATACTAAAAATAATGTCGCGGATTAAGTTCATTGAAATTTATGTCAATATAAATAATGTAACTGTTATGTGTAATAAACATAATATAAATGTATATTAATCATTATTATGTCAATTTAGTTGTAATTATATTTTGTACCGCTCTTGCGCAGCTCAATATATATTTTTATTAGTGAATAAACTGTATTAAAATGTTGAATTATTGCTCGGAATGCCTAAAATTTTGTGACTAAAAAAAGTTTCACTTCAAAAACACTGTTATTTGATAGTTTTTAAGTTCTTCACTTCTGTCGGCAGTCCTTAATGACTGCCTCATTTTTTTATTATGAGATTGAAATATATATTGAAAATAGTGTGTTCCTTTCAAGTACAGGTATAGTTTGGTATTTAGAGTAAAAACATATTAGTTTTGTTGACAAAAGATTATTTAGAGAAAACGACGAGAAGCTTTTGGGATGGTTTTGCCATTTCTGGTTTAAGTATAGACAACCTTTACTTATCTCAAATCTCTAGGGATATAGAGCCAGATGATCTGAATATTCCTACTAATCGCGGTATAAGTAAATTCAGATCCTACCGTTCGTAAAATTCTATGATGGCCTCTTTCCGATGATAAGGAGTGGGAGTGATAAATCACAAAAATACAGAGCGATGTAACGGAACGTATTCTGCTGTTTGTATCCTAAGTTTTTTTAAATTTGAAATTTTATTGTTGATTGATGATAATAATTAAATTTTTGGACTATTTTACAGTGCTAGAGTTTTTATAATATCGATATAGTTTGATTGTTTGAAATGTAAGTTACAAAACATCAAGGAAAAGTTATGAAATTATTTCCATAAAATTGCTGTCCTATACATAATTTCTCTAAAATTGACTGACAAGAATTAAGCTTTAATACATCCTACGGTTAGCTGATTAAATTTTCGGCATAGTCTAAGAATGGGGGTGAAAGGGTTAAAATTTTAATTTTTCAGTAGGTATTTTCGTTGGCAATGAATACGAGATATATAAAAAAAAAATGTTCTGAGTAAGATAAGTGGGAAAAACATACGTATTTAGTTCATCCTCTAAACATTTACAGGTTGTACAAAATCACTGGAAAAAGTCGGTAATAACTTTCCTAAAGTGGCGCTGAGAAACAGTAACAAAGCCTGCACAGAACACGAGGCGAGATAACCTTAGCAGTTGAAGCCAAATAAAAAAAACTAGACAGGAAAGTCATGTGGTGGATACATCAGATCCTCTACAATATTTTTTTGCTTATTCTGACTTCTGCTAAGTCCTAGCTAACTTTTCTTTGTCTATAATTTGTCTGGCTTCATGACACTCGAATTACATCAACATTATAAACACTTTTTGAATAAATTGTTGGAAATTGATATAATCAGAATGCACTCCAAAGTCCTTCCATCAACCACTAGCCTATCTGAATTGCGTTCTATTAGTATTCTACCATTCTTTTCTAAATCGTTTGAATTTATACTTAAAGATCAAATTAGCAAATATGAGTATGAACAAAATATTAACTCCCAGCTCAATCTGGCTTTAGAAGGCACCATATAGTACGACCACTGCCCTCTTTATTACGGACGACCTTTTTAAGGCGACAGATCTGGGCAAAGTCACATGTTTGGTTCTTTTTCTTATAGCAAAGGATTTATTTATTTTAATTTTTTTATTTATTGGTATACTGCTCAAAAGGCAATTCCAATTACAGAGCAGGAAATTCTGACAAAAAAAATATATTTACGAAAACATAAGAATAGGTAGACACTATACGGACTTAAAAACTTCAGACTTAATGCTATATACACTACAATTAAATATATCTATGGTATTCCTCACTAAGTTACATAATGCACACATATTATGCAGTAGTGATGATTTTAAAACATTAGTGCTTGCTGATGGGATATAGAAAGTAGACTGCGACTGTGTAGAAGTTCTCGGAACGTTAAAAGTTTTTCTAATAATTGTTCGCAATGGATTTTGTTATATACTAATTTGTAGTATATGAAAATGATTAGATGACAATTTCGCCTTGTTCAAGATCAATAAAGTAATGTCTGTTAAGCAGATATTGTTGAGGTGTACCTATTTCCGGATAAACGCCATCCTGTTTGAAGCAAATGAATTTTAAGAATCGCCGCTGCACTGATTCTAACTTGTCCCGATGAGTTTTGTAATGGGGATTCCAAATTATGGAAGCGTACTCCAGTTTAGACCGAACGAATTAAAAATACAGCATTTTCTATATCTGAAAACTCCCTACTAACACGCAACACAAACCCATACATTTTTGATGCAGATACTTTAGATCACCACTTTGCAAAAATTTTTCGGGTTTTCTCATAATTCCGTTTACTTAATATCAAATTATCTTAGCAATCGTACTAGTAAAGTTATTTTGGAAGCTGATCCAGCAGTCTACCTGTTATTCAAGGTGTTCCTCAAGGATCCATCCTAGGATCATTGCCATTTTCACTATATATAGCAGATTTTAATTTTAACAATGAATGCTTACTGCTCAAACTATTATTAACGACCATTTAAATGCTTTACTTGATATTTCTACAGCTCACAACCTTAAAATAAATTCTAATAAATCATCCATCATATTATTTGGCCGCAAACAATTAACAATAATTGAATTACAAATTAAATTAGGCGACGCTCTCCTATTCACGAATGAAGGAAAAATATAGATCTTTGCTTTAGTAAACCATATTTCAAAGTTCGTTCAACAAGACAGTTGTACCCTAACCGAGACCTGCTTTCCACACAATTTAAACTTAACTTTGAGACTCTCTCATTTTTTTCAAACTCAGTTATTGTGATTCTATCTATGGTCCAGCCTTTCTCCAATCCGATTCCGCGTGTTTACCAAAAATTCAGAATAGCTGTCTACGTTTTGCCTATGGAATTCGAAAATTTGATCATATCTCAAATGAAATTAAAACTTTCTTTATTGAATATAAAAAAATGAAACAGGGAGTGGGTAAGTTTCGCTAGAACAACAAGATTCCAAGCATGTAGAAAAATGATAATAAAAATGTAGCTTAACCAAAACAAATTAAAATATCGAAATATGAATATATTTATAGAATAAAATATCAAATTGGGTTTGTTGGCGGCACAGATTAGTAAAATTTAAACAATAATATAGTTCTTTAGAATTTAACAAACACTTCCTTGTAAAGTTTAGACTTGTCAGAAATGTTTTGTCTATCAGTAAGCAAAATCAAAAAAAATTGACTACATTGGCATATGCATTCCTGGTTGAAACCAATCTCATTTTTGAAACCCAAACTCCGGTAACATCCAAATGAGTCAATTCAATACAACAAAAAATAATCTAATGTAATGGCAAATAGTAACTGGGATGGGTCAGCTGTCCACTTCATATTTAAAAAAAACACCTTTTTCTACACCCACAGATTACAACACGAAAAAGTATGCTATTGCATTCAATATCCATTCTAGGTAGTAAGAAGACTACAAAAAATGCAAACCACCAATCTTCATATTTTGGACACCCAACAACTACTATTTTTAAAATTTTAAATACGTAACATTTCTGGCAAGTTAATTGTCAATATTTAAGTTGCTGACATTAAATATACATTAAAATTAGTAATTTTTGGGTGGAATCGATAAATAATAGCATTTTTTTTTGGTCCACATTTTACAAAAAATCTTAAATTTGAATCAAACTGTATGAAACCAATTAAATTACGAGTATTATAAATGTGGAGATAAGGGTACAGCATCTGCCTTCCAAGTCAGAGATTCGTGTTCGAATCGGGACGGCGGACTAATTAAATTCAATCTTTTTTTCTTCGTTTATTTTATAAATTAGTAAAATTATTCATTTTGTCTTAATAACCTAAAATAATTTTTTAAATTTATAGATTTTCGTTAGTGGGTCGTAGAAAAATATACTGGACAATTCGAGTGCATAGTTCCATATCTACTCTTGTTGCACAAACTACTATTATTTGTCACCACACAGTAGTCACTGATTCCTGTACACGTGTCACTCTTTTCTTAATGTTATTAAAATAAATCACATTATTTAGCAGCCAGAGGCGTACCCATATTTCACATATTGCTCATTTTAATTTTACTGCACTCTAGTGGACTAAGAAATTGTTAAGTAATTGGAAGCTAAGTGTATTAGTAACTTAATGTGTACTATAAATTTGTTATTTTGGTTGATTGCCATTAAAGTTAAATTAATTTAATCTGACCTTAATGGCCAGGGTTTTCAATTCAATTAGTTCATGTTTAATTCAATTGTTTTGTTAGATTTTACATTAAATTGCTATTGAAATTAGCTTTAAAATAAAGTGTCACATTTTAAAATATCCTGCTAGATGGCACTAAAATCACAAGTAATACAATGAAGTTATATTGCTGAATTCCCTATAAAATTAATTTTTCAATAATGCTCCATGGTACATTCCTTAAAATTAAGGGAAGGGAAAAAAGATGTTCCATTTTGATCAAAAATTTACCTATTTTTAGTGTCCCACTCTGTATGTAATGTAATACAGTTTAATTTTTAGCTAATTAGAAGAATTTTTTATTGCATAGGTAGTGTCTATTTGGCAACCGACATTCAAAATTTTTATCTGCGCACGACCTAGCCTTAAATAAACAATAAAACGTACACAAAACAACTTTAAGCATTAAAAAAAAACAAGTAGTACATTTAAATTCTATTTTATTAGAACTTACAAAAAATAACAAAAAAATAGATACTATTAAACACAGTATTATAAAAAAAACTGGGTAACAATTTTGTATTAATTTAAAAATGTCCGATTCTGTCCTATACAGTGTGCCTCTCTCGCCCTTTATTAATATATTAAAGAGAAAGCGAATTTTTGCTAGGATTAAGAAATCTTGTAAGATATCATTATTAGTAGTTCGACTAAAAAAGATTTTAGATTAATTACTCTTGGGGTAGTGTATCTTTATCCGTGTATCATTAATATCTACTAAATATAAAATAAATACTGTTCAAAAATGACAAGCATTTTTAACCGATACTTCAGTTACTCTCTTTATGATCCACCCCGTATAATGTAACAAAGCCAACTCTGGCAGATACAAGAATGCAGTTACACGAATTTCAAGTTCCAAGATAAACATTTTATGCACACTAGTCCATTTAAAATAACGGTAAAAGGTCGAGAAACGCCGCACTTGACGAGACCACTTGTCCCCTACGTATTTTGGGGCGCTGATTACGAAACTGAGGGTTAAAACTGGCAGCAATGGTTGGAACACCCCTAAAATTGCAAAAAAACACCCATAAGTAGGGGTGTTTTTCGACTGTACTTGTTGTTTTGCAAACTAAGCCACCCAAAAAACATATAAGATGACTTAGTTCGTGAAACACCGTGACTGATCATTTTTTCCGAAAATTCACCCCTTGGGAGGGGTGTTTCTGGTATGTGGGGGGTGTCACACAAATTTTCCAGTCTCGACACCCCGATTTTCGAAACCAGCGACCCAAAAAACATGAGATAAGTTAGTTTGCAAAACAACAGGTACAGTCGAAAAACACCCCTAATTAGGGGTGTTTTTGCAATTTTAGGAGTGGTTCAACCATTGCTGCAAGTTTTAACCCCGATTTTCGTAATCAGCGCCCCAAAAAACATATGAGGTGAGTTAGTTTGCAAAACAACAAGTACATTCGAAAAATATACATAAATTACTTAATCTAATTTCAATTTCTTTACATAGTTGAATATATACCTTTCTAGCATTTCAAAGATTGAATCTTCTCTCATTGCAAGAGATAGATATTTTACACTATACAAGGCATTAACACAATCGTAGGTTGTTCTTATGTACATAAAAAATTATTGGCTTTTGCTATTGGAAAAATTGTTCTTACAAATAGTAATGTTCAAAGCAATAAGAACGATAGGGAGGCATGAAATCCGTCAGGTATAATCTCTGGGTACAAGATAAAAAGAGATAAATGCTGAAATTAAAATATAAGAAACAGCTAACACCAAAGTCAATGAAATATTTATAATATTAAAGATAAAGTGGCTTGAACATGTAAAAAAAGTTAATTGAGATATTACTTAGATGTCACTCAAAAGAAGAAGGAAAATTGAAGCAGGATGCCAGAACTGGTTGAGAGAAGAATCGGTTCAAAGTATACTAAGACTATAACAGAAATGGGTAGATAATCATAGAAATATTATAGAAGACCGATATAAATATAACATTTAAGTAGAAATTGAAACCTACTGTGCATAAAAACGCGTCTCTGCGCCTGACATCGCAAAATAGTGTGTCTAGAGGCATGCGCAATATGCATAACTTGTCCCTGTAGTGTTGTAAAATATATTAAACATACCTAACAGAAAAGAATTTTAAATTAATTTATTTTTAAATTATATGATTTAAACAGTTTATATCTACGAAATATCGCCACAAAATAACTTATAAACATTTAAATAATCAACTAACTAATAATATTTATGTGTAATTACATTCCCAAAATATATACAATACAAATACAGTATTAATGATCAACGAGCGATTCACCTACAAATTCAATATTGAGCTGGCAATAGCACTAAAATCCGGTGTTTCAAGGCTATATGACGTTGCCCTTACAGGACCGTTTGTAGTTTATTATTTAATTACACGATGAAAGTGGTATTTTATTTTTAGTTTTGGGTAGTGTTTAGTTAAATCCTGGGTACAATAAAAGACATTTTTACATTGGCTAATGAAAATGTAATCAATGTATTAAGCAGCTGTTATTTTACAAGATTTTTTGTTAAAAATTGTTAAAATAGTAAGCAGGCTATGATCTTTCCATCCAAAATATTCTGACAGTTCTGTTATTTCCGTTTTATTTTAAATGAGATGCAACTTTTATTATTTCTGATAGCGATGGAACATGAAATGTTGCTTATTTGGAATATATACCTTTACACAACGCTCATAACATCAGAGACCGTGTTTCAGTCGGGTATAATTTAAAATAAAGAAATTTAAAATTAACCCTATTAAATTGTACCTTTACCTAATCCCTAACCTAACCCGATCTCAACGAACTTAGAAACTCTTCTGTCACTCGATATTTTAATCGGTACTTCCTCTTTGCTTTTTGGCTGGCACAACAATTATTTACATTTCTTCATTCCTTACCGCGTTCGAACCAGTAAGGTTTAAAGAAATTTTAAAAAACCTGTAAAATAAAGATGTTAATGATTTTCTCATGGATCCCATCTTCAGATCTTGACTAAATGTATATAAAACTATTCCTTTTCTAACAAAAAGAGAATCATAGAAATCGGGCAACGTGGTAAAGAATTATCGCTCAACATACATAAAAAAATATTTCAATGAATTGAGAATATCCTCCCATTTTGAAGTATGTTAAAAAAATTGTTAATAAAGTGCAAAGTAGGGTGTGAACATATATTATAAAGTATATAGAATGATAGATAAAGACATTTTAGAAGGTATTATAAATAAACTGTGGAAATATAGAGAATCTCGATTTTGAATCGGAAGAATATTTTATGCAATTTAGAATGAAAGCTGATCAAAATGAAACACATGAACGACCCGTTGTTATTGACGACTTTCTTTAAACGTTTTCTAGTTTTCCGAAAACTAACTGGATAGTTCGAAAATCATTTCCGTCGTTAAAGCGCCTCTTGTTCCGAAATAGGTACACGACTGTCAACATTCATCGTTCATTAAAAAAGTGGTAGATACAAAACGCTTTGTATTGTAAGGCCAAAATATATTTAAAAATCAAAAGAATCATATAAGTGAGATAACTACCAAATTAATGATTTACAAGTTTATTCTTATTATTTATAAAATAGGTTTGCAATGTGCTGATGTGGAATGTTATCATTGACTAAAAACTTTAAATCTTTGTATTAAATTGATCGAAAACAATCCATAAATTGGTTTAGACTATATAGAAAGTTTCTAGTAAGCAGCGACTAATTTTTATTATGGAACCGAAAGACCCTTTTAAAAGGGTTCAAAATTAAAATAAAATATGTACCAAGTAAATGTAGTAGTATTTTTTAATTTATATTTAAAATGGTAACATGAGAGGTTTTCTGTCTAATTATAAGTAACCACTCATAGTCTCGGCTGTTAAAATGTAAAAAAATATCGATCATAATATTCCTGGGCGAAAAGCAACTGCCCCCTATTTTGCACTCCCCAGATTAAATTTAGTTGTAACAAATGATACTATCAAATAAGATGTAAAATGACAAGCAAAATCTCGTGACTACAGTACTAATGATGCCTGTTTGGAAAATTATCTTTGTGAATATTTATATGTATAGTTATATTTAATCCAGGTTAAGTGTCAGTGCGCGAGTATAATGATCCGCCCATTCTGTATATACGTTTAGTTACCGACCCTAGTAGATAGGCAATTTGTTATTGCTTTAAGTTTTACCCAAAAAGAAAATCAATATTAGGATAAAATGTTCCAGCACCTTTTAGGTTACGTACCTAAAAAGTATTTTAGTTTTTGGTTAAGTAATGATTTGTAACAGTGATTTTCTAATTTAGATTGTGGATTAACGTTTTTGTATATAACTTCACTGTTTAATATTAAACGAAGTCAAAACCGGAACACGTGGTTTTATTCTGGAAAGTATTTTTAAATTGAATCACGCACGCCGTTCGAGTGAAAATGTTTTAACTAGTTCAAAACAACATAGTTGTAGCAAATGATACTAAATCAAATAAGATGTCAAATCACAAGCAAAATCTCGTGACTACAGTACTAATGATTGCCGAAAATTAACTAATTCATATTTTGTCATATCTTTCTTTATAAAGGACTTTCAGAACCATATTTACCTTACATTGAATTTTTTTCATCGTTTTCTATATAGAATTACCTCTAAAAATGTATGACTGAAACATCGTGTCAACTATTTGTTCGATCAATAAAAAACTTGCACCGGTCCTGTTCGAGCCAGCACCGTTATACGCATGAGCTCCGACACACTATTTTCTCCTTATGGTTTCATTTTTGATATATGGAATCGGCTTTCTATACTATTTCTATGTAGATAATGCACAACCGTTGCACAACATTTTGCAGTAATTTGGACAGGCGCCAAGTGTTTCATTATATGTTCATTAATTTTTCCCACAACTATATTCAATTTTACAAAATTTATTTCAGAAATATATGAAGGGTGGTCACTTTTAATATTTTTGGTTAAAAAAGTGATTCCTGATTCTGCAACCTAAACCGCACGCCTGAGAATGATTCATCTGGTAATTATTTACATCATATTATGTAGTATATAATACAGGGTGTTATAAAGTTCAGACCAATGAAGGGTATATTATTTTATACAATATTCACGTTTTTAAATTAAATTCATAGAGTTTAAATAAAATATATGGTGTAAAATATTGATTTACGTGTCAAACCGGTTCAAAATGTATATAAAAGTGAAGTGGAAATAAACATTAAAGTTGTTTTGATCAATCTTTCAACTATTGTGGAACAAGAAATAAAATTAAAAACATGGTTCAAATTGTTCTTAGTAATGAAACTATAGTGTTTTAATTTAATAGGTTTTTCAAATCAAAAATAAAGAAATATAGATTTGAATCAGTTTTGATTTACAGAGTTTATGTTTTGAATGAATATGAATTTTGTATTATTTGGAGGACTGAAGTGAAACATATTTTAGTCTTCCTAGAATCTGTATTAAAAATTGGCCTATATGAGCGCGTTTTTTATCCTATAAAACATTTAAAAGTAAGAGGCAACATACAAAAAATATATCAAAAGTAATATCTAGAGACGCCAATTTAGTGTAAATTTGTGGCACAAAGTTCATATTCCTATATATTTGACAATATTAAGGTAATGAAAAAATGTAAGATACTACGAAAAACATCAATTTTTCATTGAATTTTTGAAAGCAATAAGCTTACTTAGGATGCATATTGTAGAAAAATAGTATTTTTCTACAGTTTTCTACTAAAAAGCCAACTCTTATTTTCAGGACATAACATTAATTAATCTTCTCCTTGAGGTGTATCATTTTGAAAAACTTGGTAAACAGTTACTAAGTGAGAATTGTCATTGAACTTGCAAGAAACATGTAAATCTGCTATTCTAAATACATAGCAATGGCTGCCCCATCTCTCTCTTAAATAAACTGATCTTGGATCTTCTCTAAGTACATTTGTGATTGTAGTTTTCTTTTCCTCTCCCTAGAATATATATAAATAATGTGTAATTAGTGTGAAATGTGTAACAGGAGATGAGTATACTGCCCTGCTAAGACAAGAGGCTGTATCTACAAAAATTACGATTTCGAGATTGATATACATATGGTAAACTTGCATTTTATTTTATGATACAAAGTTAGAAAGACCTATTTACATTAGAAAACATTTCAAATTATAATATAAAGGTTATTTTAAACTGCAAAACCTACTTTACGAAGCCTAAAAGGACATAATTAGATACTTACTAAAAATCATTTTTTTGTAGATACCTCTTGTCTTAGCAGGGCAGTATAAAACTTGTTTTGTCCATTTGAAGTGATTTTGTAATAATTGTGTTTGTAGTACGAGCCCTAACCACTATATGTTCGGCCTTTTTATAATTTTAATTATTAATTTATTTATTTAATACACTGTTCAACAGGAAACATAATTAAAGAACAGGATTACAAGAAAAAATAATTCACAATCTGAACAACAAAATTCAAAAGTAAGTAGGTTACAATAAGAACAAGAGTTAAAAGCTAATATAAGAGAAAATCATTCTTAATTTTACTTACAGTACAATTAAAGATATCTCAATTACTGCACATTTTGTTAGAACATTCACACATTACATAAATGGGAGAGCTTTTTAATACATGAAAGTTAATCCTTTCTAATATGGCGGAATCATCAATTTTATCAGTTAGTAACTTAAATAGAAACAGCACCGAGTTACAAGAACAGCGAGCTGATAAGCTATTAACTGTGTGTCTTTGCAAAAGAGAATTATGAGGCGTTCCGATCGCAGGGTAGACAGCATCAATTTTGAAACTTAATAGTTTTAAAAATCGTCTTTGGACTAGTTCTAAGTTGTTAATATGAAGTTGATAAAACGGATTCCAAACTATAGATGCATACTCAAGTTTTGACCTTAGGAATGCATGTTAGAGGGTGGTGAGTGTAGACGGATATATTAGGAAACTTAAGGTTGAAGAACATTTAAAAATTACTTAAATTTAATAGTTGTTGATATTTCTACTATTTGTGAGAGTAGGACGCATTATCTTATTTAAAAAAAAAGTATCTAATCGAAAGATAAATGACCATTTAAATGGTCGAATAATATCCTCTACAATTATTAAATTTAATGTTTGGAAGGCTTTGGAATTTTTGATGTTTAGAATGTTTTACTTGTTTGATGCACATAATGAAACACAAACTTATTTTGTAGTTTGACGTTTTAAGTTATTGAAAGTGTGACGGTATCTTTGTGACAGTTTCTAACGTAATTTTTTTTATTCGTTATTAAAAATGGGTCGTGGTAAAGCAACTCCAAAAAAATTTAGGGATTTGATTATAAACAAATACAAACATAAAACAAGTTTCCTAATAAATATCTTAAAATAAAATTATGAAAAGGCCAAACATATAGTGGTTAGGGAATATAGTGTTGGGATGGTCAATTCAGACAAAATACCTAAAATTATAAAAAATATGTTGCAAGCACTGACATGGAGTTATTACACACTCAGAGCATCATTATTAAGGGTTCAATTTGCACTTGCACTGATCAAATGATAATCTTCATGCATAGAAATGTTTAAAATTTCCTTTAAATGTGAAAATAAAATATTGATAGATGTTTGTTTTATTGTATTTTTTAATTTATTTTTGTCAATTGACAAAAACTGACCACTCAAATCCAAAACACTAGTAGTATATAATGAATAGCTTATTTATGGTTGTCCAAGCTTGTGAGTGAGGATAATAAAGAGGAAACGTCTTGTTGTACAAATTATATATTAATTAGTTTTACTTCCATTTATTTGGCATGATTCATGTGGTTTGAAAATGAAAATATAAAATAAATTTGATGAAAAACTATCTTTCTTTTTCAAATTTTAGTATAATCAACAAATCATGTATTTATTTAAAATAAATGGTGTTTTTTTTATTTTGATGTTGCAAGGCATTTGACTATGTGAGTGTCAACTTGTTACTCTAAAAACATTAGAAAGGACATTTGTATGTCAGCATCGCTGACCATCTATCTGTTAGGAAGGAACATCTCTGGGTGAAAATCAAATTAAATAAAAATCTAACTTTTTAAGTTATTGAAAGTATTTTTACCTCTGATCCTAATTGGCTAAGTTGGGCTAATGCTCTATCTTTAAATAAAACTGTTAATCTAGGAACTAAAGGTTGATCAATCCAGGATGGCACTCTGATATGACCTTCTGGTGTGGTTGTGGTTGCAGGCTGAATTGGTGTTGATGCTTGAGTATTTCTTGGAGGTTCTTCTTCTTCTCCATCTGGAGCTTCCCTTTCCCCCATTCTTGGGTTTGATCTGAACATTTTTACAATAATTTCAGTATGATATTTTTAAAAGAAATGTAGTAACAAAGATAATATAGAGTAAAATTAACCATTTTAATATAATCTATGCCTGTTTTAAGTTACTAATTATGTGTTAAAGATAGATAATAAATATAATGACAGTACTTAATATTTACTGGTTACAGATACCTAATAATTAGAGACTAAAGACATTCTTAAATGAAACATATTCAAAAAATCAAATAAATATAGTAAAATTAAACATTATAATAATATAACCAATATTTACTGGTTTTAATTAATTTATTATTTAAAGTAGATAAGAAGTAGATAATTTACCTTGTGGAAAATACTTCTTCTGTTCTTGAATGACCATTATTTACTACAGCAGCACCAACAATTTGATCTCTTCTTTCATTTTCTTCACCATCCATTGTTCTTTCATTTAAAATGTCAGCGTTTGCTCTAGCTCTATTGTTTGTATCTTCAGCTATATTTTGCTCAACAATCCTAGAAGTGCTGGGAGAACTTTCTGCAGTATTACTATTACTACTACAATTTAGGTACAGTGGATTGTCATACTGAGGAATGTATGGTTTAATATCTATTACAGGAGTTTCATTAATCATATCTACCCCACTGTAAAATAAAAATAGTAAATAAAGCCATAAACTAATTTATGAGAATCAAGATATGTATTTAACATTTTTGTGTTAACAGTTTAATGTCATACATTTGTAAATTATAGTACTAGTAATAATAAAAAAAGTGATTACCTGAAATAAATAGTGCTGTCCATAATTCTGTCTATTTTAACTAAAGATAATCCTATTGGAGCAGGTCTATGTGGAGACCTGGTAGCAAATACCCCCGTTCGAATTCCATTTAATCTCGGTGGAGCTATTTTTGCTTTTAAATGACTTGAATCGTTTTTATGGAAATGAAATAATATCCACATATGAGAATAATCCTGTAAACCTTGTAAAGAATGTTCAGGGTTAGTAAAAACATTGTTATCTAAAACTAGTTTGGCAGCCAAATCTTTACATATGCCAGGTTGTCTTGGAGTGCCCCTTTTTTCTGGAAAATTCGTATTGATTTTTGCGATATAATTTGTTGAAAAATCATGACTTGGAATAGGAAATGACTGTGAAGTAGCGTTTTGATTAATTTTGCAAGAAGTGCATTGCCAATTTGTGAGTTTTCTATTGATGCTATCAAGTTCTTTTCGATGTACATGATTGAGAGTGGCCAGTTGTTGCCTAAAAAATAAGTTCCGTATTAGAGTTCTTACAATGAAATTGTGTTCTTACCGCAAGTTATTTATTTCTTTTCTTGCAATTGTGAGTTGATTTTGTAAATAAGCGGGATCTAAAATGCTGTTATTGTCGATAGAATTCGGGATTTCACATTCTGAAGACATTTGTTTTTCTTTTGAATCATTTGACATCTATTTGTTAAAACTTTTTTGACAATGTCAATAGTGCCAATCAGTGTTGCCAACCGTCTGCGCCCTCTATAACATTTTTTAAATCTTAGTTTGAGATGTCGGATGACCTTTGTGGTCGTCGGACAGATCCGCATTCAAAATTTTTTATTATTATTCTAATCAAACTACTTGAAAAACTAAAAAGTGGTGTACCTTCCCATACAGCACAAACACATTTCGGAAATATTTCAAAAATATTACATTGGAAAATAATGTATAAATATTACGAAACATCCCAGAAACATTTTTGAAATGTGCCTGAAACGTAAAAATGTCCTGTAAATATATTTCACAGTAATGTTTCTGAAATAAAAATTTGAAATCTTTTAGAAATATTAAATAGTAGAATTTCAGAAATGTATTTTAGCTTTTTTTATTTTTATTATTAGGCTAAAAAAAGACATACAATGACTTTTATTCAAAAAAACATTTATGTCAGATATTTCAAATATTATGTTTCCGAGTAGGAAATTGCAAGATCTTTCAAAATCAAGAAAAAAAAATTGGGGTTACTATTTAAAAAAAATTTCAATGACGTCACTGCCCAAAAACGGAAAGTGGGGGAAAATTGAATTCTATTTAAAAAATTGCGCCTTGAGTAAACAAAATTGACCTGTCCGAGCATTTTTTCCATTATAATGAATTTATTCCTTTCATTTGAACCATACTGTATATAAAAATATCGTGTCACGATGTATGTTCGCGATAAATTCCGAAACTACTTAACGGATTTTGATAAAATTTGGTAATATGGTCCAATTTAAAAGATATGATAGTTTTTATCTCAATTATTGACCTCAATATTTGTTATTGCAAATTAAATGTTTATTATACGACAATTAGGCATTCCAAACTGAATGGCTACCAGTGGGTTTTGACGGGTTATGATATGGCAAAATTATGGCAACCCTGTAGGCCTGGTGATTTGACAAGATCAATGAAATAGATAGTTACATAGATTGACCATCCATATTTTTCAAAATAAACATAAGCTTATGCCTTAAAGTAAAAATATAAGCAATTATTTTTTTTAAATACCTAAAGGCTAAAAATTGGTTTTAAAACACATTTTTGCTAAACCGATTCAAATTAATAAATATTTACCAGACAATATGGCCGCTTGTAAACGACCAACTTTGAGCAATCTATATAACTATATATGTATCATTGACCCTGTTAATGACAACATGACAACAGGGTTGCCATATCTAAACTGTCATTACCCACTGGTAGCCATTTGGACAGGTCGTTGGAATGCCTAATTAGGCATTCCAACGACCTGTCAAACAATAGCTGACAGCGGGAAGGGTTAGTAAATTTAAAGAGGTTGCGAGATAGCCTTCCATCTTGGACGTTATTTTTATTTGAAATAATAGTCGCCGAGCCTGCCAATTTATAGAAAATGTATAAGCGGTTTTTTTTAAAATAATATGTTCATTGTGTTCAACATAAAATATTTAAATTTCATCCATTATTTATGATTTCATATAATGCAGATAGTCTACATCGTATGTTGCAACCCTTTAAACATACCAAATCTTAGCACCGATGCCTAAATAATATTGTGTGTTTATTGGTTAGTTCTATGAATTCCTAATAGATGACGGTGTAAGGTGAAGACTTTCGCCTTTTTAAATATAGGAACTTGAAAATTGGAATTGCAGCTACCACATACTTTGATTTTCTTTTACTATACGGAGAATGGTCGCACTGCGCAGCTTTCTGAGTGCCTTTTAAAAGGAGATAGAAAACTCCGCCATTTTGAACCCTTATTACGTGTTGCCTACATCTTGGCGCAATATTTTTAATAGGTGCGTTTTAATCATCCGCTTCTGCTTCGAAATTGTCGGTTTTCTTGTTTTAATCTGACAGGTTAGAACGACTGAACCGACAATTCCAGAAGCAGAAGCGGATGATTAAAACGCACCTGATATTTTGCTTGCTGCTGTCAGTGTCAGTAAATATTATTTTTGGAGTCACAGTTTATTGCTAAAGAATCAGTTAGCTCACTCGGAACAGTTGAAAGTTCTAAAATAACGTCCACTCCAGGGATACAAATTCAGGATACGCAGAAGACTGCTGTTTTATTATAGGCGGTTGTCATATATTGTATTATCTGAGTTGCGCAGTGTATAAACTGAAACATTGAGATAAAAAGTGCCGACGCAGAGTGAGCGATCTGATTCTTTACCTATAAACTGTGTCATATGGTTCAAAATGGCCGCGCCCTATGTTGGGCGTGTCGGACCTCTCTCTTGCCCCGTATAGTAATGCTCACATACTTAGATTTTCTTTTACTAAACCGAGAATGGTCGCACTGCGCAGCTTTCTGAGTGCCTTTTAAAAGGAGATAGAAAACTCCGCCATTTTGAACCCTTATTACGTGTTGCCTACATCTTGGCGCAATATTTTTAGTAGGTGCGTTTTAATCATCCGCTTCTGCTTCGGAATTGTCAGTTTTCTTGTTTTAATCTGACAGGTTAAAACGACTAAACCGACAATTCCGGAAGCAGAAGCGGATGATTAAAACGCACCTGTTATTTTGCTTGCTGCTGTCAGTGTCAGTGAATATTATTTTTGAAGTCACAGTTTATTGCTAAATAATCAGTTAGCTCACTCGGACCAGTTGAAAGTTCCAAAATAACATCCAATCCAGGGATACAAATTCAGGATACGCAGAAGACTGCTGTTTTATTATAGGCGGTTGTCATATATTGTATTATCCGAGTTGCACAGTGTATAAACTGAAACATTGAGATCCAAAGTGCCGACGCAGAGTGAGCGATCTGATTCTTTAGCTGTAAACTGTGTCACAGGGTTCAAAATGGCCGCGCCCTATGTTGGGCGTGTCGGACCTCTCTCTTGCTTCGTATAGTAATCAAAGTATGTGGCAGCTACTCATAAATGTAAATAATGACGTATTTCAAGGTTTTTGGATTTTCACATTTAAAGGAGGGGGGCGTGGGAAGTATCATAAAATCCCTACTACTACATAAATGCGAAAGTTTGGAGAAAGGGGGAAATAGAGGAAATAGGGAAAGTGGGAAAGTGAAAAAAAAAAGGGAAAGTGGGAAAGTGAAAAAATAGGGAGAAGGGAGAAGGTGGAAGGGGGAAGGGGAAAGGGGGATGAAAGTATCGATTTTTTAAAGGTGGGAACATGAAAGTTGGAATTGTAGCTACTCATATAATGACGTATTTAAAGGTTTTTGGATTTTCTCATTTTAAGGAGGGGGGAATAAATAAATAAAAATAAACAAATAAAAATAAAAATAAATAAAAAACTAAATAAATATAAATAATAAATAAAAATAAATAAAAAACTAAATAAATATAAATAATAAATAAAAATAAATAAAATTAATAAAAATAAAAATAATAAAATTAATAAAAATTAATAAAAATTAATAAAAATTAATAAAAATTAATAAAAATTAATAAAAATTAATAAAAATTAATAAAAATTAATAAAAATTAATAAAAATTAATAAAAATTAATAAAAATTAATAAAAATTAATAAAAATTAATAAAAATTAATAAAAATTAATAAAAATTAATAAAAATTAATAAAAATTAATAAAAATTAATAAAAATTAATAAAAATTAATAAAAATTAATAAAAATTAATAAAAATTAATAAAAATTAATAAAAATTAATAAAAATTAATAAAAATTAATAAAAATTAATAAAAATTAATAAAAATTAATAAAAATTAATAAAAATTAATAAAAATTAATAAAAATTAATAAAAATTAATAAAAATTAATAAAAATTAATAAAAATTAATAAAAATTAATAAAAATTAATAAAAATTAATAAAAATTAATAAAAATTAATAAAAATTAATAAAAATTAATAAAAATTAATAAAAATTAATAAAAATTAATAAAAATTAATAAAAATTAATAAAAATTAATAAAAATTAATAAAAATTAATAAAAATTAATAAAAATTAATAAAAATTAATAAAAATTAATAAAAATTAATAAAAATTAATAAAAATTAATAAAAATTAATAAAAATTAATAAAAATTAATAAAAATTAATAAAAATTAATAAAAATTAATAAAAATTAATAAAAATTAATAAAAATTAATAAAAATTAATAAAAATTAATAAAAATTAATAAAAATTAATAAAAATTAATAAAAATTAATAAAAATTAATAAAAATTAATAAAAATTAATAAAAATTAATAAAAATTAATAAAAATTAAATTAATAAAAATTAATAAAAATTAATAAAAATTAATAAAAATTAATAAAAATTAATAAAAATTAATAAAAATTAATAAAAATTAATAAAAATTAATAAAAATTAATAAAAATTAATAAAAATTAATAAAAATTAATAAAAATTAATAAAAATTAATAAAAATTAATAAAAATTAATAAAAATTAATAAAAATTAATAAAAATTAATAAAAATTAATAAAAATTAATAAAAATTAATAAAAATTAATAAAAATTAATAAAAATTAATAAAAATTAATAAAAATTAATAAAAATTAATAAAAATTAATAAAAATTAATAAAAATTAATAAAAATTAATAAAAATTAATAAAAATTAATAAAAATTAATAAAAATTAATAAAAATTAATAAAAATTAATAAAAATTAATAAAAATTAATAAAAATTAATAAAAATTAAATTAATAATTTTTTTTTCAAGTATCGTATGAAAAAATTTCTCACGAGTAACAAAAACTGTTATTCACTTTTGGGTAATTCCAAGAAAACTCTGTATATTCGGGTCCCTGTTTGTATTATAAAATTTAAGCCAATTTAAAGGCAGTTTTTTGCAGGCGATTTATAAAATACACTTTGTTAATTAGTTCTGCTTTGTTATTTTTGTAAATTAAAAAATATTTTTATTTTTTTATGTACTTCACAGTATGTGAGATTTCACCTCCGTTAACTGTCCCAAGTTCTGAAATATAACCTTTAAATGATAATTTTAGCAATATATTACAGTTAAAGGTTTATTTTTCAAACATGATTCGAAAATAAAATTCAAAAAATAGACACCCACGTAATGTTATCTCAAATACTAGAAAGTATTTGGCCAAAAAAATAGTTAAAATTGACTGACCCGAGTAATTTTCTCATTTCCGTTATTGAACTATCTAAATTAGAAATAAATTCATTAGACGGCGCTAGAAGGCAATACCGATTGTCAGTTATTCAGTTGAATTCTTAAGTTATGGTGACTATGTTTTTCCAAGTTTGAAGTAAATATTTTGAGAGTTTTATCGAGTTTTAAAAGAAAATAAGCAACAGGTGAAGCTTAATTCTCACTCCGGTTAACGTGACTTAAACAGGTAAAGCAATTACATTTGAATAATTTAATTATTTGCATTTATTTATGAAAATATGATATTAAAACTTTTGAGGTTAGTTTCTTTCATGAACAAAGTAGTAAATTAAAGGCGGCAAATTTATATAAAAGTCTCACTTCCGTTAATCTCACTACTGTTAATTAGGAAAATTAACGGATGTGAGGGTAAATTAACGGAGGTGTAAAAATATGAGATTTAGAGAAATATTGTATTTATTTCAGTTATTATTAATAAAAAAATCAAGTATGGCTAAGACCAAGGAAAAACTTGAAAAGAAAAAAAAATACGAATCGAAAAAATTACGAAAATTACAAAATCAACGATCAAAGGAATGCATGAAAAAATTACGTAAACAAATTAGAAACGACCCGGTTCTACATGAACAGCAAAAGAAAAGGGAACGGGAGAGGTATTTAGCTAGAAAAGAAGCTGGAAAAATTAAAAGTATATGTTATATGAATGATAGGGAAAAACGAAAAGTAAGAAAACAATGGAGAGAGCGAAGCAAAAAAATCATATAATGCGAAGAAAAAAAGAGAATTGTTAGACAAGAAATTAGAAGAGAATACCCCACCTCTCAGTCCAGTTTCTTTTGAAGGGCATATGGCACCCCAAGTCGCGGAACATACCCCCCCATTTCAAGGCAAGCCATTCAAGGCAAAATTACGCAGCGAAGGAATAAAGAAAAGCTTAAGAATGAGATAAAACTTCTTAAAAACCGTCTTAGCGATGTTGAGAAGAAAGCTGAACGATACAAAAAGAAAATTCAACGGATTAAAAAAAAATTACCACATACACCCAACAAAATTGTTAATGATTTGCTAAAAGGACAACAAGTTACTTCTGAAATAAAAAGACGCTTAGTATTTTCAGAAGTTATACAACAGCAACTAAAAGCCAACTTACAAGAAAAGCAACCGTCTCGGAAAAAAGAAACTTTATTTCAAATGTAGGAGGTAAAATAATACAAAAATAGAAAAATGGCGAAATTTTAGTTTTTTTTACAATTAAAAAGTTTGGACAATATATGTTCTTACAGAGAAATGATACGCCACTGAACAAAAGGGATTGTTTACCTTCCTCCTTGTGCCCGCTTCCTCATTTCCTCTACAGAGATGTTGCGGTTGCGAACACAAAAATCGCCTATAAACTCGTTTCACGCCCCCTCTAGTAGTAATTACTCGGAGCTATTAACAGGTTCTCCTTGTATAAACGTTTTCTAAAATGCCAGCTCCTATCTCCTCTCTCTATATCTATAGATTTCGCATAAGCCTAAGCAAAAAAGTGTTTATTAGGTTTTTTATCAAGACACCTATTTCTTTCTTTTATAAAATGGCCGAGTGTGTAGTGTGCAATGACAGTTAATGCAAAACATTTTTAATAAATAACATCGTAATTTACCTTCGTTTGTGTTAGAAAAGTGAAAAATCAGTTTACTACAATTATTTGATTAATTTGAGGTAAGTTTTGTCATAAAATGCGAATTTTTCTTAAAATTTATTGAATGCAGAATCCCTACCTACCTATGTGTTATCATTCGAATAGGAGGTAGTGATATTTCAAAATATGTATAGCACTATTAGATAATAGTAGTTAAATAATTAGGAAAATGAATATAAATTGCGGATTATTTACGTTAAAGTTGGAAATTTAATGGAACCATTTCAAAAAATTTAAAGTATCCATATTTTGACGTAGTTGTACAATGTTGCCAAGAATTTTGATATTTAAGAAGATTTATATCTAATTTTTAAATTCGTAGTAAATTATTATACAGTTATTTAAATAAAAATAATAGAATTGTTTTGTGATAAATACTTTTCATTTTGTGGAAAATCAAACCTATTGATTTATAATGTGTAAAATACTTTTAAATTTTAAAGTGTTGATGGGAACTGAAAAATTTGCTCAAGTTTAAATTATTGCCCTTGTTTTTAAGTGATTTCAACTTATTTTATTCTATAAATTATACATAAATAATTTTAAAGGGTGTATAGTACCTATACAGGGAGTCCCTTTAGTATGTAATTGCTCGATATTAGTTGTGTTATAGACACGCAAAAAAGTTTCAAATATGTTATATGGATTTGAAAAAGTCACATTTTAAAAATATTTTTGGACATACAGGGTGCTATATTGTTGCTTGGCAAATAAAAATGTATATTTTTTAAATTTTATTTTTCTTTATTTTATTTAACTTTAGAATATTTTTGAAAAATATTGTAGGGTTTCCAAAAAATAATTTTTTGTGAAATTAGAAAATGATGCAGACCAGAAATAAAATGATTTTAATTTAGGTAGGTAAGATGTAAAATACAATCAAAATCTCAAAGCCGTGATGCATAGGCGGTTATTTCTCTTTTGACAACAACTACTCCTTTGACTAATACCACACCAGGCATTGAATTACGTCAAAAGAAAAAAGCAGAGATAGAAAATATTTTCAACACTCTACCTTTGATTTTGCTTACTAACGAGAAAGGCATTCTGAAGCTTAATACTCACTTGGGCGAAATTCGCGCTTTTTTTTTGACATAATGTGTCAAATTCAGATTAAAAAATATTCGCGGCGGGAAATTTCAACTTTTCTGCGATTATACACAGTGTCATCTGTTATAAGTCATAATTGTAATCTATCAAGGGAAATAACATAACCTAGAATTTTTAATTTTTATTTGTTTCCTGTTTTTACAATTTTTATAAAAAGAAAATAAACGTCAATTATTATTTACGATGATATTATTATCTTCTGGTGTCTCCTGTACCTGGAAATTTTGGCACAGGTCGTTGATTATGACTATTTCGTTACAAATATCACAATAAACCTACAAAACACCATAAAATAATTATTTATTGAAACTTTTTATGATGTCCTTTAAATTACTTGGGTATTACCTCCAATTCGTCAAACACTATTTTAAAGTCTAAAATCAATAATTAATACGAGTAGAAATTTAAAAAATAAGCATAACAAAATGACACTATGAATGACAGTAATGCCAGATGAACTCTCAACCACCACGACTTTATTCGTTAATTAAATTACACATAGATAACTATCCTATTAGACCAGTTGTATAATTATTTGTCACGGCTCTATCAGTAAAACTTTCTCATCAACTAATTAAATTTATACTAGAAAATTTCAAATTCCATTCAACATACAGTATAAAAAATTCTTATGAATAACCAGAAAAATTAAAAAAATGTTAAATTACCTAGTATAGTAACACAAAATTAGATTCATTTGATGTAATAAACTTATTTCCTAATATACCTCCTAAATAAACAGTTAACCTAGTAGAAAACTTATTAGAGAAGGAAAATTTAAATTTGTTAAACATTTGCTTGAGTCAAAATTATTTTAAATTTCAAAATAACATCTACTTATATTTATAGATAATATAGAATATAAAATTCACAACAATACTTTAAGTAAACCTTTATTGACATAGATATTTTGACGACATAGTGACTGGTTTTACTGGTACTAGTAGACAGTTAAATTATTTATTAGTTTTAAATAATACTATACACCCTAATATTAAATTTATTATGGAAATAGAGAAAAATAACTCAATAAGTTTTAAAATTAAACATCAATAACATTAATAAAATGGTAAAGGAATATTTCATAAGCCATCACATACTGATTACAAATACATAATAGTTCATCTCATCCATGTAAACAAAAGTTAGCAGCCTACCTGAACTATTAATAAATAAGCCTTACTTCTTAGAATGTATAAATTAAAAAAGATTATAGCATTGTCCAGATATTCAATATATCATTCTGAGTATACAGACTTGGAGCAGCTTATTAAATTTTCTTTTTACTAAAACAAAAATATAATAATCATAACTACCAGAAACCTAATTATTTAAATAAAATGTTAGCCAAAAAATAGAGTTAACAATGACTGAGAAAGACAAAAATTGTTTTGTGTCATTAAGCTCTCACAAAAGTGATATATTTGATGGTTCACAACTTATAATTATACACAAAACAAGATAAATAAAATCAGATCTGTCAAGAAAATTCAATGAAAAACTTAAATATGCTCCTGGCTAAAGAGTACTAGATGCTCCTAGATAACACAAAATTTCGTTTTTCTTCATAGGTCAAAAACCTAATATTTTAGTGATGTAAAGTTGTGAATTTTAAACCAGGTTAACCTGACTTTTTTATAATTAATGAAATGAAGAAATGTTATTATTTTACAAGGTATATATTGGTAAGAGGAAAAATTGTTTTACACCCAAGCTCCTTTGATGGTAAAGGTGAGATTTTCAATAATTGTGAAAAACAATTATTGATATTTGAAGACAAAAATGGTGTTCGGAATAAAAGAAATGTACATATAACATTGTCACAAAAGTATGACTTTTACTAATAATAAAAAATAAGCTTTGCTAGACAAAGCAATACTTACCAATAGGTTCGTCATCAATAACTAATTCATCATCGTCACTTGAAAATATTCTTCTCAATGGCATTCTTTTAGGAGGAAGATGTTGTATATCATCATCACTTGTTATATCCGATGTTATAAGAACCTTTGTTGTTTTTTGGCTAGGCTATTTGGTAGTTCTCTAAAACAGATTAATAATATTTTATACACTATACTTTTTTAAATAAATAAAATGGCTCCCAGAGATTGTTTACGAAATACTATAAGAGGTCTCCGTAACCAACAAAAATTCAAAAAATATAATATCAAGGTATATAATGCAAAATAATTTCATAAAACGATGTAATTAAAACCACAGTACGTAAAGGGTAAGGTTTTAGTAATAATACATAAACCAGTGTTTTAGTTGTCTAAAGGTGAGTTTAGTCAGCCTGATTTAGTTTTAACATAAAAGTTATAAATTTATTTCAATGTATCTGTTTATACAGAATAACATAGGCATCAACATTAACATAGTAAAGATAAATAAAAATCAACTTAATGCTTAAATTAATATCGAAAATACAATTATTACAGGTGTGAGTATAAAAAGTGAGGTTAAGCTATTGTCCTAACTTTAAACTTTCGAACTTCTAAACTCTTTTTTCACATATTTTTATTAATATTTGTGAGATATCAGAGCAATTTTAAAAGGAGTACCTATCGTTTTCCCATTTTTAAAGATTTGTCAAATCTTAGGCATGTGTTTGTTTAAATTAATTCTGGATGTTTAAGGGCAGCAGGTAGTGGCGACTTTATAGCTTTCGGGTGCGATCGCTGACATTCGTATCGTTTCAGTTTTTTAATATCAAATATAATCGTCATCTAAACCTTCTAAAATTATAATTTCTAATGCCTCTTCAATATTATGAACTACTATAGACAACAAAAAAGATGAACTATAATTTTAAGTTATTAAAATAAGGTTAGAAATAAGTATAAGGATTATGTCAAAATTTCAGGTTTGCAAAAAGTCTGATTTTAGCATGACATTTGACTCTAATTACGATGTCACTATTAGTGGCTGGCATTATAGAAATTTGCAGTATCTCTCTAGTAGTATATTTTCATTTTTGTT